AAAGCAACTATAGGAAAAATAGCCATGTTCTGAGACCAAGTCTCCACGAGGGTATTGTTATTTTCACCATTGAAGATATAGATGGTTCATTTCCTTTATGCATTAAGGGTATCGTGCTTCTGAAACAGGAGAAATTCTGATACTTCATAAATATCTATAAGCTAATTAGGAATAATTTGTGAGAAATGAGGAGCTTCACAGCATTGGAAATGGACACATAATTTGATCCTTATGTGGTAATCATATTTCTCATAACATTTTACAAACAGAGTGGGTTATCTTTTTATTTTTATCAAATTTCCCACAAAAGGAGGCACCATAGATAAAACATAAATTAGACTGGGGTCTAAAGGAAGGAAGGAAGGAAGGAAGCTTTGGAGAGGAGGCCTTGATAAATGTTCATGGCTTAGTGGAAAGAGTCAGTCTCTAAGTAGAGAGATTATCATAGAAGTGACTTCTTTTGGAGTTGTCTAGATAATAACACAATAAGATACTACAACTTAGGTTGCAGAGATTTTTACGGCTGCTGGGGAAGCTTTCTCACATTTGGGTGAGTTAACAATGCAGCTGCATCCACTGAATAATGATACCTCCACGTCACCCTTGACAACAACTACAAGGTTTGCAAGTTTATACATTAAGTGTAGCTTAGTGATTAGTGTGAGAATAAACTGAGATGATGTTATTGCTTTGCTCGTGCAAAAACATTTTCCAAAATTACTGGCATTTAAAACTGATATGGAAATAAATGTATGCAAGCTCAATTAATCTCTATTTTGACTTTTTAATTGCTTGTTCTATTAAATATTATCTTGGGGATGGATAAAAACTGTTAAAAAAAATAAAAATGCACCAAGTGCATCATTGAGTTATAAAAGCAAGTGGGAATTTTTCTTGAGTGATCTTAAAAATTCCCAAGTGCTCATATAACTCAACAATGCTCATGGAACAATTTTTTTTATTTCTTTTATAAAATGTATTATGAATTGCACACGCTTATACTGATGACATAGGCTGTGTGCATTATATCTCAACACTGCACTCATGTGACGCAAGGTGCGTGCTTTATGGAAATATAATGAACTCGTTCTGACTAATCACAGCGTGCATATTTCTCTGGACATTTTATAATAGACTATACACCACACAAGGGAATAGTGTTTTTTGCACACCTTTCTTTGCTAGTTTAGAAGTGAATAGCAAGTGCTGTTCAACTCTTAGCAGCTGATGAGACAAAACAATACATCAAGAATTTAATTTTGGACCATTTTTAAGTATATTGCAAGAAATAAACCAATTTTTTGATTCTGATGAAGGGCTCATGCTTGAAATGTCAGCTTTGAAACTCTCTACGGTGGCCAATTTACATAAGCAACTTAGTTGATAAAACCAAATGGTCTAATTTTTTGGTATCTGTGTGTTATGCACTGACACAATTATTTACCCCAATGTCCTTGAAAGTGGTGGATATTTACCAGTACCTTGCCACTTCCTGGCTTGGTAAATATCTGCCACTGTTCACCTCCACTATGGTAAATAATTTATACCTGTAATTATTTTATGAATCAGGGTGACTGAATGTCGTTTGATAACCAGCAGCTCAAATCACCAGGTTTGCATGAGTTTATCACCTAATAAGAGATTCCAAATACGGACATAAATCTTTCTCCATTCCACTTCCACCTTTAATTGTCTTTCAATCTGTTAAAGCAACAGTGGCAAGTGGGGAGATGAAGAAATTGAAATGTTAAGAAGTGCAGTCAAGAGGTTTGGAGATGACTTGAAGAAGATCAGTGGGCAAGTGAAAAGCAAGTCTGTGTAAGTAGTTGAATTTGGATGTTATTGAAAAAAAATTAATTAATTACCTTTGGGATATAGTCATCAACTGACTTTTGGCATCAAACATGATGAAGATGTATATTACGTTAAAGGTATAGCAGAAAGACTTATTCTTGATGTTGAGAAGTTTTGAGCTTTACTGGCTAAAAGGCTTTTTGAACATTCAGTAGTGATTTTACCTTTGACCTCCATCTGTACATTGACTTTTCATTGTCTAGCACTATTGCAGGTTAGCACCCACTTCCAAATGTTCACCATAAAGTCTGCAAAGTGCAATTCTTTTTTAATTCTATTTTTATCCAAATTTTTAGGATATATATATAGGATATATTTAATATCCTACTGCCCTCAACTATTAAGGCCTGGGCTTTAAGCTGCTTCAGGTGTGAGTTGAGGGGCTTCCTCAAAATGTATCAGCCATTTGAATGGGGAAGAGGGAGGCAGTTTTTATACCTTGTTCATATACGTTTAGAAATTCTATTTTTTAATTTTTCATGGTTTTCCCTAGGGCAATGTAACAACGTCAACCTCTTTTTTTCCCATTTAATATGTATTTTAGAGATATTATAATTTTGTTTGATCATATTGAAGAAATATTTTAGGTTGTTTTTTTTTACCTAATATATTCATCCTTTTATCTTGAGAGACACCATAAAGTAACACACCTTGATGGTTTTTAGGTTTTCACACCATTTATTTTTCTTCTTCATTATTAATCATTGTATAAAAGACATTACATGACTGCATAGAGATACGAAGTTTCTCGTGGAGTCTTGAAAAATGTTTCACAAGTAAGGGAAGCAAGCTTGTGTAATACTTTTCAACACCAGAAGAGAAATTTCATATCTCCAAGCAGCCATGTAATATTCTTTTTAATTTAAAAATACCAATGAAATACTAAATCAAAGGTGTTGCATCAAAAGGTACAATTTTTTATATGTAATTATAACAACAGTGATCTTAGTGTGAAGATACAGTAACATGTTTTGCGCAAATGCTCACCTGGTATTTTATTGATGTTTGTATAATAAAATTATATATTTACTGCTTGTAATGAAATAAATGAAATAGAATTAAGAAAATGCAAGGATTTACTATTAATCTAGTTGCAAGAAATTGCAGATATGTAAATTCTGATAAATAAAACTCTGGCATACAGCATTGACCAATGTACTTAATAGTTTAATTTCATTGACTGAGGTATCCAATATTATCCATGTTGCTGATCTTATAACCTGTTAACTTCCACAAAAGGAGATATGCTTCCCACTATAAGGGAAGTACCTGTAAAGTAAGTACCTGTAAAGTAAGTACCTGTGGCGTACCTGTAAACTAGCTTTTAGCTAAGCATTCTGACCACATTAAATAAATTGATTGATTGATTGATTGGAAGTCATTTTTGGCATTTGTTTTTCAACTGAGCAACAGTTTATGTTCAAGGTGTAGACAAATAAAATTGTTTGTTACCTACTGAAGTAGCACCTCTTTTTATATGTTGAGAGATAGAATATTACTACTTCTGTTTGTGATATACATGTGCATAGCAAGTCTTTCAGCTTACAGGACTAATATTGAATTTGTTTCTTGTTATTTAATGTACAAGGGCACAAATAAAATCTGCATTGAAGAGAAGGATTCATGAACAAGAAAATTCCCCACTTAATACACAGAAAGCAAAGAGTAAAACTTCTCAACAAGCATCTTTGAGCAGTGAATCCCAAAGCAAGAAGCGGAAAACAGAGCAAGGTAATAAACAGTACAACTGTTACTTCATGCAGTGTTATGTGCAATAGTATATATTAAATGCAAATCACCAGGGACTGGAATCTAAGAATAGAAAAGGAGTAACTTGGAGTGCAAATTAGAAATTTTTATTATTGTTGAGTCTTCATTTCTTTGTGGTTTGTCTTGTCACAGCATCAGTAAGCTCACATGCTTACCAGGGATTGGGATCTAAGAATAGGAAAGAAGCAATTTGGAGTGCAAATTAGACATTTTTATTATTGTTGAGTCTTCATTTCTTTGTGTTTTGTCTTGTCACAGCATCAGTAAGCTCACATGCTTACCAGGGATTGGGATCTAAGAATAGGAAAGAAGCAACTTGGAGTGCAAATTAGAAATTTTTATTATTGTTAAGTCTTCATTTCTTCATGTTTTGTCTTGTTACAGCATTAGGAAGCTCACATGCTTATCAGGGATTGGGATCTAAGAATAGGAAAGAAGCAACTTGGAGTGCAAATTAGAAATTTTTATTATTGTGGAGTCTTCATTTCTTCATGTTTTGCCTTGTTACAGGATCAGTAAGTTCACATGCTGATCCATTGTCAACGTTATCATCAGCTATACCTAGCACCATTGTTCCTGCGGTAGATCTGCTGCCTGGAGGTTCTCCATTAAAACCCAATGGTGCCTCTGATAATGATGTGGATATTGTTGGAATATTTAGTAGTGGTGATCAGGATGCTGTCTTTCCTGAAATACCAGGAGGTAATTAAAATTCCCTGTTTATGGTTTGCTTTGCAAGGCAATATTCAAACTATTTTAATATGTGATGTATTATTATATTTTGAGTTCCATATTTTCTGATTTCCTCTCAAACTTTTATTTGGCAGTTATATTTTTTATATATGTACCTATTAGGTAGATGTTGATTTTCTGGCATGATCCCCATCAGTTAATATTCTGCCTTCTCTTTTCAGCTTTAGGACCACTTGAAACCCAGATTGCAGATGAAATTTTGTCTACAATGTGAATTGCTGGCACATGTGTTTGTTTGCATTTCTTCTTAGAAGAGAAAGGGAAGAGAAATAAAGAAGGAAGATAAAGGGAAATGTTCAGTGATACATTTTTCTCCTTGGGATACAAAATGTGTACAGGATAGAGCTAAAACAAGACAGTATTCTTGTGAGACAACACACATGGGGAGAGATCTTGCTCTTTCACTTTCTATCAGATAGGAACTGTTAGGAAAAGTTTTTATCATGAACTTGGTGTGGTTGATTTAACCTTGCTGATTGATGTAATTTTAGGCACATGTTGTAATGGATATAATTTAACCTAATGACCATACCTGTGTGACACCTGGATAACTATTTGTTAAGCTCTGGTTTTTTGAAGGATGGATAATACAACCTTGTGAAATCATTCCCATCCTGTTTATAGATAGTGTACAGTAGTATATATACCGGTAACTTTGAAATGAAGGCAATGGCCATTGAAATTGATGTGGCTACAAAACCTAGTTTTGGTGAAAATGAGAATGGGTGAAGGGAATGCTAGATCTTTACTTATTGGGGGAAAAGAAAAAGGCAACTTATGATTTCCTAGCAGAGCTCTTCAGTAAGTTTCTTCAGGCTTGGCATGGTCTGCAGCAGTATGTGGTAGTATGCAGTAGCACAGTAGTATGTTTTGTTCTGTCTTTTTTGCTGAATAGAGGTTAATTAGTTGGACATCTGTTGAAAAACTGAAGGTGGTTGGATAACTATCAACTGATCAGTGCTAACAAAACAAACAGGGCAGGTAACCTCCCTCCCTCCCAAATTTATGGGGGTATACATGTAAGAGTATGTCAAAAGACAAAGAGTGCAAATTAACTTGAACTTTTATTACTTCATAATTTATTTCCTAAACTACTTGTATCTGTTAATTTAAAAATAATTCTCTTTTGTTTGTTATGAGTTGATACTTTGATTTACATTGTTTTCTTTATGATACATTTTACTCTTCATATAAAATAGGAAATTAACACTAAAATAACTACCTTGTAAAATAACTTTTAAGAGAAGCTAATAGAAAATTTTTTCACCTACTGGTAAACATGAAAATCATTTATTGTTACAAGGGTGGTTTGTCACAGTCATAAATACTTTCTTTATTTACATCATTTCAATTACATGTTGACAGAGTACCATCACCTTAACAAAATAACTAACTAGCAAGACACTAAGTATATGTGGTTATAATGATGGTAATGTTATGTGATATCAAAAAGTTTCCTCTACAGACATAAATGAAGAGACTGCACTCACAGCTAAGTTGGTTTATTGAAAGGTTTGTCATAAAAATCCCAAAAGTTATCATCATTATCCTCATCTTGAATGATTTCTATTGGTTTTGAAGGCACACTATCTTCATGTGCAACTTTTTTCTCATCAACTGGCGTCTGCTTCTTTTGTGCCTTAGGTTTAGGGTTGGGTTTCTTTACCTTTGCTTGTGGTGGGGGCTCCTCAACCTTGGTGGTTACTTGTTTTGGTTCTTGGGGAGGCCAGTTTTCTTTAATTAAATTTGATAGGTATTAAAACATAAGTGTGGTTTCACTGCTGCTCATTTGATTAACCATTTCCATGTCATGCACCTTTAAATGTTATGCCACATGTTAAGGGTGAGGCTATCCATGGGGATTTGGAGAGCTGAGCCTTTGAGAAATTTTGTCACTTACTAGATGTTACCTAAGGTCAAGTATTAGATATCCCCATCTGTTTGGAAGACCAAGAGAACCAGCAATTAATCGTTATTTTACCCAGAACTCATGAAGCACATTGCAACATTCCCTTTTCTGTTAAGCAATCATTTACCAGGAGTGAAAATGTGACCTGGCTATGGGCTATAAAGGTCATTTGTGCTATTGAGGAATTGGAAGGTCAATAATCATAATACGTTTTTGATGTAAATTGGCCACTATAGAATTTCAAAAGATGGCATTTCAAGCATTAGCCATATGTTAGTGCTGCACTCTAATGAAGGGCTTCTACTAACTTTTAACAGTGGCTAATATACATTATTACTTCAGTTTATAACACCAAACTATTCTGTATAACCCCCATCAATTCAGCATCACATTTTCTTTGGAAACTTACCTCCTTTATTCAGTGATCACATTTTTAAACACCTTCAACCTTCAAACCACATTATTTATCAATTGGTTCCCTAAAGCTATAACAACTTTTAATGTCTGACTCTGGAAAGCTAGTTCTCTTAGAACAAACTCCTCTCAAAAATTTTAAAATGTTAGCAACTTCTAGCACCAGACTAACCACCTATTCACCAATACACAACAAACAAACTTATACTAGTGGATCAAAAACCAACTAATCGTGCACAATTTGCACCTATTTGAGTCTCAGCCAGAAAGGTAAAGTACAGTCAGTTTAAAGTTTGCCCAAACATCTGTCAATACTTTTGAAAATATTCCCTCAACCCAGACACTCGGACTACAGGATCAGCAGAACTGCACCTTATTTAATGTATTGAACTCTGCTTTAAGACTTAAAAGCAATATTCATTATTTCCTGTTGGAGGAAGTAATCATTGGAGCTTTTGGAGAGACAGTAAGAATGTGCCTAAGTTTGGGGAGTTTGAGTGGCCTCCACGAGGCCTAATTCCCTTGAGTCTTGCCTATTCACCACTATCCTGGAGCTTAACATTTTCTGGTGAATCACTTTACTGTTCATTTAATTTGAGTACACAATGGAAATTTTGACATAGCATGGTACAGCAGTGAAATAATGTTCAAAGATAAACTCAGTTACCTGCCTGTTTTGGAAGAGAATCAAGATATGTCTCCCACTTTTTCTTCATTCTTTCATGGTGAACGTTAGCAGCTGACCACTTTCCAAACTCATCAGTTTGCACGCCAAAAAATTTCTCCCTTTGTGAAGTTGGAATCACGTGTTGTGTTTTGTAAACTTTAGCTGTTGTACTATGCCAATGATTATTTCCAAGTCCTGGGAAAACATTGGATCTCAAGGCCATAGAAAGATTGTTATAATTTGGATTGATTGTGTGAATGTTGTAAGAAGTTTCAGCAGCTCCATGTTTGAGATCTGATCGACTCTCTCTTTTGGCTATTCCTGAATTTTTCCTTAATGGTGATAGTAAATTGCTAGAGTAATGTTGTGGATTTATCTCCCTCCACCTTCCATGACCATCCTGAACAATGCGTCTCCTCAATGAGTTCAAATGCACATCCGACGTGAACAACTCTCGGCTTTCTGATTTGTTACAAAATTCAGGTCTAATATATTCTTCAATGTCGAATAAAGTTTCAGCAGTGACTATTTCTGCCAAAGCAGCTTTTTGTTTTTCTGAAAGTCCTTTGACTGCCATTCTTTAGTGGAATTTGTGTCACCTTTCAGTAGGTCGAGTCTTCGATCATATTAGTGTCGCATAGCAACCTTAATAATCCACATTTCCTTCCCGAGTTTCCTTTGAGGCTGAGTAAAACAAAGGAACCATATTGTATCGAGGAGCAGCGTATCGGGCACAAATTTCACAGAAGCTGATCCCGCTGGCGCAGAGATTGAGGTAAAAAGATCGCGATTTTTGATGGACAAAAAAATGGATTTTACTGAAACTAATAAAAACTATTGTTCTACGCCATGTGTAAATATTCTGTAAGGTTCAATCCATAATTCTGACAAAAATTCGAAGCTGAATTGTGCTTAAGAACTTTCAAAATTTATAAAAGTTTTTCTTATTTTATACGTGTATTTAGTATCTAAGACTTTATGACTAGTCTATGCAGTGTGTAACACAATATATAATCGCTTATGAACGACCTTCTCAATTCGGTTTTCGGTGCAGATCCGACAAGGCAACTTTTTACCACTTGTAATTTACATAAACACATGCAAAACACAATGGAGATGGGTGTTAATTTAGTCCAGATAAGGGTGTTTTTCATGGCAAAAGAAGCCAATAAACTGTTTACCTGTTACATGTATTTGAACCTTTCTGCAACAGAAATAATGTGATTAGCAGTAAAAAAAAATTTAAGAGAGATGGTGATACTGAACGTTTGTGACATAGAATTTACTAGGGAGGTTACAGAATACGAAACGAGATTCAAGACTTAAAGAATCCTATCCGTAGCGTATGAATGACAAAGATGAAAGTTCTTGGCAATCATACTGTAGGTACCAACAGCATTAAAATCTTGCCATTTGATGTAATTTTCGTTCTACTAATCTCTTGCATCGTATGTTGTTTTAATAGCTTGCTTCATGTTAAGAATGGCTCATCGACTGACGTCCCACCACAGGGCATTATTTTCACCAAAGTACCTTTCTGGAACGTCAGCACACATCACTACCACATCATATTTCAGAACCCCGTTTGAGGTGAAAGACAAAGACGACTTTCGGAAGAAAGTTTTGGCCTCTGCCAAACCTGTCCTTGTGGACTTCTATGCTGAGTATGGAAAATATTATTTATTTTTAAGTTTTGTTTATTTCTTTATCCTATTTTATGGTTGTTTTTTTCTGGTCTTCAGGAAACTAACATTTCCCATTTATCTCCCATGGAACTTTTCAGTGACTGCATAGCTGAGACCTCACTCTGAATACTGAATAATTATACTGCAACTGGATGAATCAAGTTTTTAGAACCCTATAAACTGCAAAAGATTATGAGAAAGATTTCAATCAAATTTGACCCTATTAGACAAAAATGACCTATATATCACATACATTTACCATTATTAATAATATATGAGAAAAGTTACTTACTTCTGATTGGCCGAAAACAAGTGCATTTTCATGTAATCTAAGTTGTAACATGATTGGAAATTACAAAAGTGCAAATTACAAATGAGCAAGCATGCACTATCATAATTTTCTGTGATGCTCTACAGGGTATAAACAAGCACTTATAAATTTTTTCAAAGACTACAAATTGAGAGGTTTCATTCATGTTTTCAGCAGGGGGGCAACTTGTTTTCACAGGTGGGTAAAACTTTTTGAACTGAAATTCTTTGTAGGAAAAACATTCCTCTAAATGGCCAATCTAGGTGTGTGAAGCTGTCCTCACAAGTGGTCAATTTTCCCAGTGCCTGCTCTTAATGAAACCCTTGCAAAATGCACTTTCCCTACCAGCTTGTGTAATTTTTTTGTCTATGAAAAGTTTTCATTTTAGCTTATTTACACCAAATGGCACTCAAAATCATGTTATTACCTAATGATACCATTTGTAAGTCATTTCTGCACTGAAGGTAATAAAAGGTAGATTCTTTAAAACTCACATTACCCACATCTCATCTCTTAAACAGCTGGTGTGGCCCTTGCAAAGCCTTATCTCCAAAGTTAGATGCAGTAATGGGAGAGAAAGAGGGCTTGTTAGAGCTGGCTAAAATCGATATTGATATCCATTCTGATCTGGCTTTGGAATATCAAGTAAGAAGCTATTTGATAAAGTAGTACTGACAAGTCTATCGAGTACTTTATTACTCCTCTCAGTTAGTACTTGTGCTATGATCAGTCAATTTAGCAGGCTGTATTTAACTGTACCACCCACTAAATTTAAAAGTATGTCTGATGTGGGATCTTCCTCTATTTGAACCCAGAGATATACCTTGTTTTCTCTAATTCACCAAGTTCTAGGTCCTTACTGTAAGTTATGGAACCCTGTTTTTTTGCTGAGTTTTTAAACTTGGTTAATAAAAGATATGTACCACATATTCCAGTAAGTCAAGGTTGTCTGCTGTTAGTGGTTTTTGTATCATTTTGATAAGTTATCCAATTTGGGTTAGCATACCATTCAGCATACAGTGATGTATTCTTTGTGGTTTTCTTGTTGTTGTTCCTCAGGTTACAGGAATTCCTACTGTTTTGGCTGTTAGGAATGGGAAAGTTGTTAACAAGTTCACTGGACTAATAGAAACCAAAGAACTTCGAGAATTTGTAGAACAACTCTTAAGTTAATGCTGATGTGCTAATCTTAGAAGTGAGTTACATGTAAGTCAAATAAATTTCAATATGGAATTGATAAAAAAGGCTAGTAAGCACACTTAGAAATTGTTTGCAGCTTATTGCACCTAAATAATGATTTTCTGCAATAATTTTTTCTTCATCTGAGAACAAAGAACCTATAAACACTTGTAAGCCATAAATTATCAACTCTAGAATATGTCAAATGATCAAAGATAAGTCAAGAAAATTATAAGGCAATGAAATGAATTTATAAGCCTTGGAAGGACATTAATCAATCTAGCTTTGGTATATGTTACTCAGGTGGTTATCATTTGTAACAACTGCAGTATCTTTATCTCATAAACACCAAGAAAGGCCACAACAACTGTCTAGCAAATTTTTGATTAAAAAAAACATTTCTAACTGTTTATTGTAAGTATTATTATTACTGACCAATCAGAGCACATACATCTAAGGTTTTTTTTTTGTACATTATTTAAATCATTAACTATGGCCTCAATTACTAACTTTGTCCATGTAAAATTTAAAACAATAATAAAAGACTTGACATGCACAGCATAAACAGGATTCTGCTGGACTGTGCATTGAGGACAGAGTTGCAAAGTTCACCTCTGCAACATTCAAAGTCACACTGCTCTGTTTGCTGACATTGGCTGAGTTCTGCCTTTTTACATGTTTTCTTCTTCACACAGTCTCTGGAAAATAAAAAATGTTACAATGACTTAAGGATCAAAACTCACCAATCACAACTGTCACTTACACCAGGTACACCAGTACATGTCTTTTATGGACAGTTATTGTGTTCATTTTTAAATTAATTTTAAGTAATTTCTTATACTTATTGTATAACGCCATGAGATTTCTTTTTGATATGTGTGCTATATAAATGCTGGTTATAATTATTATTATTATTACACCACTTGAGTCTTATTGCCAACAACATGCCAGCTAAACTGACCAATCAGTCTCTGCAAACTGGACTTTTAACACTCTGCTGACAAAACCTATTCACTTGACTCTAAAGATGATTTCTGCTGAGGTTGTTGAAGTGTCAGTCAACACTGATGGCAACAGTCATCAGTACCACTTTCACCCGCATAATCTGACCGCACAATTAAATACTACCCCAGGGTTCAAACTACACTATATCAAGAGATGTTTCTGAAATTGAGATTTGGTACTGCAAGTTTCTATAATTGGTTTATAACTGGACAGCTAATAGTAGCATGTGGCCATTAAAGACTTGGCAGTGAGAAGGTGTTGCTGTTTTGGAGTTAGATAATAATCCCCGATAAAGAAAAACTGTTGCCGTTATTGACAGATGAATAAAAATGCTCATATCCAGAATACACGCTCTCCAACTCAAAACAGAATTTACATTCAATGTTCATATTAGTGCAGTTGTTGTTGGAGGGGGAAGTACAACACATAGTCAACTACAGTGTATCCCTTTTTATTTATTCATTTATATATTTATTTTTTTTATTGGTCCATTACATGGGTTGGGTTGTATAATGCCACTGCATAAACCAGGCCGATCATTCTGAGGAACTATGCGTTATAATTGTTCTTACCTCACAAAGCCAGTCTCCCCATACCTCCCCTGGAACTTCACGGTTATACATGCGTCATTCTCTTGGCTGCATTTTGTTTCATATTGTTGGTAGGCGCATTCTTTCCAGGAAACACTGCTGACACACCTAAAGCAATTTAACACCTGCCCATGACCTGAAAAAATGGTAAACTTCATATCGGCATTTGTTATTCAGTTGTATTTCTTGTGAAAGTCTTATCTATTTTCTCAATTTTAGTTTATCTGGACACTTGGAAAAATGAATCTTATGTAACTGTGCAAAGTTGTCTCTTCATTAAATCCTGGCTGCGCGTTGTTGTAATTAAGAAGTTTGATGTAACAGGTTTTGTGTTTGACTCGGTGAGCATTAATAATCAAGATTCATTAAACACTGAAGTCTAAAACATCGAATATATTAGTGAAGGTACGTCAAACTCCACGAACCGCCAAAAAAACTTGGAGTGCTTTAGCAAACCTCGGATAATGAGTTGAGAGCGTAAGGAACCAATTTAAAACGATGTTTTTCCCAAGCGTTCTTTTTTGCCCCTTGAAAAACGCAATCCATGGATCGATACTTGATCAAAGAAGGGGGTAAAAGGGGATGCGAGGAAAGGGGGGGGAGGGTCCTGCGCACGTCTCACGAACATCGAAAAAATTGAAATAATGCATATCACGGAAAAAAACGGATATACCACAGTAAGGTTCGCGTATCGCGAAAGGCAAATTCACAGTTCAAGAGGTGTTAATTTAGTATTTTCACTGATCAGGAAAATTATTACGCAATAACCTCTTCCCTCCCCACACTCCATCAAAAACAGCAAAGTGAAAACTAAGACTCAGGGAAACGCGGGGAACGGTACGGGAGTGACGGCTGTTACTTTTACATCCTCTTCTCTAGCTAGGTCAAATTCGAAGTCGAAATCTGTTTTTAGCAGAGCACGAGCATATGTCCTCTCAGTCTTAAACCTTTTCCGATTTTCAAATCATTTAAGTTTTGGCTTCGCATTTGACAGACGTCCGGAAAAATGTTTTCCTTTAACCTGGGGTGAAATTTATCAGTTACAGCTACTCACCGCCAGTACGCAAGGTGGGAAGTAAAAAGATCACCCAAAGCAACTTCATTCTCATTTTACTCAAATCAACATTTGATCGTGTGTGACTTGCATATGTTCTGTTTAAAAGTGGGTTGCAGCAGACGAAATTTCCTAATTATCGGAAAAACTTCTGCAAAATCAAAGAAAGCCATTAAAATGAATGGATCAAGGATTGGCTGTAAGTTATGACGTTTACACATCATACCTGTCTATTATTTCGTTTAACACAAAGAAACCAATTTTCAGTTGCGGTATATTAAAAAGGTGTAAACCGAGGAAGACTATAGGATAAAAAACGCGTGAAACAGGATCACTGAAAACGTACCGTAACTCATTTGCTGTTTCAAAGACTGTCACTGTCAGATGTTATGAGATTTCCAACTATGAACCGTTGACAGCGTTTATTTACCAAACGCGTTCAGTCTGTGGTTTTATAGACAAAGAAATCGATCCCAAAAGCGATAATTACATCTGGCTCGTATACTGAGATAGGAAATACTCAATTAAGTGAGGCTAAACCGAACAACAAATCTGAAGCAAGAGCCAAAGCAACGTAATGTCTCATGGTAAAGACAAAATTCACTGCAAGTTTTTTTAACTTGTAATCATTTAGAGTTTTTTCTCAAGCTGCTCGTTTTAGTTGTTTGACGTTTCTTTGAGTTTTTTTTTTCTTTGAACCAACCTTTCAGTCTTAATTTGGCATTTGACTTATTATGAGTGTTTCATGATGCCCAGTTTAGTGCTGCATTATATCATGGCATTGCATTCTTTTTGTAAGATGATTCCATAATCTCATTCAATAATCTTGGAACTGACAGTAGGCACTGAAGAAAAAAAAGAGTAGGACAGACTTTCTAACCACTTTTTGTCAGTCTACTCAAAAGTTGATCATTAGCGATGGCGACGATGCCTGCTGAGCTTGCAGACATGGATAATTTATGATTCAATACAAACCAAACTGGTTAGTCATTACACATCAACCCTTTCCCTGATTAACTGCGTAGATCAATCGTGCAATTTAATAACCAGATTTAAGCCGAAACAAATTTCCAACGAAATCTCCATTTTCTCGATCAAAATAAATAAAGTGGAAATAGAAACAGGTTTCTCCTTTATCCCTACTATCCCAAAAATTTAGGGAGGAGGGAGAGGGCGCTTATTCAACGAACGCTTGTTTGACATGATGGCCTCGGCAAGGGGGTGGGCGCTACTCAGAGTGTGGGCGCTTAATCGAGGAAATGCAGTACTAAAATTTTAAGGTTTATGCCATCGCGATTTTGCTTTTGAGATTTTTCGTGACGTATATGACATATATGAAGATTGATTTTTTTAATTCAAATACTTCCCTGACGAGCAGAGCCTAGCCTGTGTGAGGTTGGTTTGCTAATAGTTGCCCAAAGCCTAGGACGGAGAGGATAGTTTTATGCACACTTAAATGACTTTGAGTTTGTTCTTGAGGCAAAATTCTCTGCTTTGGGAAAGCCCTTTGTCTTAGATTTTTCGTTTAGGCTGTCTTGCATGATTGGCAGCTAGGCTTATGCCTGGCCATAGCTTAGCCTGTGAGGAAAGTCCCTTTAGTGCAGGGTAACAGTGGATCAATTGATCGCAGTATATCCCTTCACAGTTAGTCATCTTTACCCGTTGGTCCACGCATGGTACTAGAATTCTTGCGGTACATCATCCTAACACACGACAAAGAGCACACATCTTTTCATCTGTATTTGTATTCTTCTGTATTTGTCATCTTTTCTTCTGAATTTGCTCAAGATTAGGTAAGCTAGTCAGTTAAATATGTCAACGTATGTTACTAAATTTTGTAATGCAGCCTTTCAACATTTACATAACATTAGGTGTATTAAGAAGTATTTATCTCGTGATTCTTCTGACACTTATTCATGCATTTATTACCAGTCGCGTAGATTTTTGTAACAGGCTCTTTTATGGCTTACTTGAATCACAGATTTTAAAATTACAACGTATTCAGAATGCAGCAGTAAGACTTGCTATAAACATAGGCAAGCATTCCATGTTACACCAGCGCTTTATGATCTTCACTGGATGCCAGTAGGCGCCTAAATTTATTTTAAGATATTAGTCGTAACTTTTAATGCAATTCATGGATTACCGCCACTGTATATCGGTGATTCAATTAGTGTTAGACAGAAGTCCTCTCACAATCAATAATGGCACCTTGTTCCTGGAGCCGCCTAAAGAGAAAGTGCTCTCTTCGCTTGTCGCCAGATCCTTTTATGCCGCTGCACCACCTTAGTGGAATAGCTTGCCCGCTGAATTGTATGCTATCCCATCATTGACAATTTTTGAACGCAATCTTAATACCTACCCTTTTGATCAGGTTTCTCTTTACCTGGTAACTGTAGGCCTATCTGTGGGCTATTGATATGTCGTTCTAAAGGTCTTAATCAGTGTATCCATTCGTTTCTCTCTCTGGAGGTCTGGTGCTGGGTGTATCAATGGAAATATTACATTGATAGCTCTATCAATAGACTAATTGTACTTAGAGCCTTCTTTTCTTTCGACATATTTGCTCGAGAAGTCACCACCCAACTACTGCAAGCGAACCTCTTAGACTAAAATCACTCACTTATGAAAATATTTAATTGTAAGGCATTGAAATTATTAACTCAGCTGATAAAACCAAATTCTCTCCGAAAACCTCCTCCCCCGCTCCGATGCAGCACTACAGTTTCTTTGGAAACCTACCGCATTATTCATTATTCGTTTTTTTGACGAGCTATGAAGTTGCGGTAAACCCAGCGTTTGAATTATTTATATTTTTGAAAAATCATCATGATTTAAATACTGAAAAACACTCCGTAACGCATTTGATCGAAATAATTGAAATGGCAACCTTAGTTAGGTGGGTGTTTCGACCCCAACCCGAACCTCTTTTTGTATACATGTGTTTCATCTGCTCAATCGAGCATAAATCTCTGATCTCTCGATCTTTAAAATCGAGGAGAGAAACACTAAAACCTACCGACCTTAAAACAAAAGCGACCAGTAGCAAATCACAGACACTTTTCTTACTTTCCCCATAGGGGTCAGGTAACTGTAAATACCTTAAGTTTATTTTGTGGTCAGTAAATTGGCAGTGTGTGTTTAAATCGCCGTGCTGTCGATCAAAACTTTATTTTTAATTACAGATTCAAAGTACTGGGTCAAATCATATATTGACAACATGACTGCTTTCGGATTTCGCCATAAATCTGTAGGATTACTGTGTCTTAGTTTCTTGTGTAAAGGTAAGAACCCAAACTTACTCTCTCTTAAGCAACCGAAAAAAGTGAAGTTAAGCTAAAGCTAAATATCATCACGAATTCTCTAAGAAATTGGATAAATTGTTCGACCATAATTTAAACTGAAAAATAAACCTTCAATCATTATATGCGCGACGAGAAATGTACGTAGTGATCTGGGAGCGTTTGGGCAGATACCAAAATAAGTACAAGTCAGTACGTTTGTAGATCGAAAGCAGTGGTCACAGCTGAGATTTCTCTGCCTGTGTGGCAAGAGTTCGTTGGAAGAGCCCCTCTCTCACTATAAAAAAATGTTTCTGCAGATGACAAACTTTAATATGATTGGTGGTTTTTTCGAATTTTGACAGTCTTGCTTTAATTTCAAGCCGGATGAAGTATTTGTGTAGTTGTTGTGAGTGAGGTCATCATGCCAGAACGAAAAAACCATTTTAGAGACTCATCAAGATAAAACAAGACAAGCATGCTTTTGTAGCTTTCTGTTCTAAGTTCTGTATCAATAATTAAGGTTAAACAGACGGTACTGACCGAACACTATTCATATCGGCCTTACTTTGGAAATTCAAACAGTAAGAACTTCAAACCCGTAATATGAAACAAATGACATAGTGGGCCGGTTAGTCTATATACTTCGCATAACGACTGAATTGGTCCCTTTTATGGACTTTTATTTGCAGCTGTGTTCTCGCTGGATTGTTTCGTTTGTTCAAGTGATGATTCTTTTGAAGAGTGTGACAAAGCACGAACCAAGGAAATTTGTCAACCAAGAACTACGTGCGGCAAACTATCCTTTCAACTGTCGGATAACCACAGATACAGGAGAGGTTGTTTATCTGTCATATACTGTACTGATGCCAGCCGCTACTGTCAAAACATTGTTGACGCATCAGAATGTGTCACTGCTTGCTGCTCCAAAGACCTGTGTAACGCTGCACCTGCCCAAGAAATGTCACGCGATGGCTTTCTGTGGTGGAGTCTAATGGTAACATCTGTGGGACTTATTAACATTTGTTAAATTCGAACTGTAGCCAGCAAATCTAGAATCGTGTGACGTATCCCCTGCATCAGTTTGTATGTGTCAAATTTTTCATGTGATGAACTCTTGTTTTCATGGCGATGACGATTTATATTTTTTGACTCAAGAGCACTCAGCGAGAAGGTGGAATAAAACCCGGGCCGTATATGCTTACGTTTATGCTGCCTCCCAAAGGGATGGAGGGACGGCACTGCTACATCAATGGGTGATTGTTAGTGCCCCAGCTCAAACCCCCCATCTCTTCATGATCTGGGATAACAACAACAACAACAAAAAAAAACCAAGCAGTTAAATTGGCGGTGAATGCTTTGTTGCTGGGACAGGCACGCTCGCTGTGTTTCGTTCAGCTGCCTTTATTCTGAGGTGAAATTGGCCGAGTTTCTGAAATAAACAGATAGAGGCCCGGCTAGAGGTAGTTTCAACAAGAAATTTCCTTTAACAGGTTACTCAAACTCATAAGGGGCTGAATGATTTAAAAGCACATTTCCTTCATCTTATTGTTTTTTCTCCTAGAAAAGCAACATCTTAGCACCAATGTTTTAGAACTTAGGTTTATTCAGCTGTTATCAAAATGATCATTCTATAAATGAATACGTGAATTTAGCGATGATTTTTCAGTGCCATTCTAAAGCAGAATTCAAGAAAGCGTAAATAAGCAAACAGATACCTAAAGGAAAAACTGATCATGGTAGATTCGCAAGGACCATCGTAATAGAGCAGAAGCATGGGATATTGTTAGTACAGAAGTTTAGAGAAACTAATTAGCTCATATAAACCTACTGACTCCTTTTAAAAGTTTCCAATCGTCATCATTTTCAGCGAAAGAAATTAATATATTGGTAACACTTCTCTCTTCCAATCAAACGCCAATTTCTTATTAAATAACAGTTCAATCACAAAATCTGTAAGTCACGGCAAACGAAAATGTTTCTAAGGTTTCCTCCCAGTCGTAGACTACGACCAGTTCCTCCTTATCGACGAAGTCCGTCGCACAAGTCCGAAAAAAGAACAGCGAGGGAAAAAGATGATGTTAGCGTGCCCAGAGCTCTCCGTGGCGCGCTAACGTTAATTTTTTTTCGCTGATGTTTTTAGACTAGCGCGGTGGACTCGCCGTAAAGGTGGGACTGCTCGTAGTCTATCCCAGTCGCTAATGATACTTATTTGACCATTGCCATGGCGTAGAGTGCGCATGCTCCGTGAAGAAAGCCACTGACCCCTTGCGACACACTTCCATCAACCCAGCCACAATCTTCAGAGTCGTCAGCAAACTGCTTGGGAACACTGACAGTATTAGAATCGTAATTACAGTATTCCTCGCTACAACACCTGATTTCACACCCTGTGATACCTTTTCCAAAATCCTCTGACACGCTTTTACAGAATTCCTCTTCGCTTTCGCAAAATCTCTCATATACACAACTCTTGCCGTAAACTCTGATGCCAGAAGTATTAACGAACGAGAAGATTCCACAGCGGTCAGCGCCTTTTGCATGCGTCGAACAATGAGCCTTCTGGATCTTGTTATCGCATGCTTGGAGTGAGGACTGCATACCTTTGCACAGATAACAATTGAATCCACCAGCTTTCGATAAGAAACCAACAAAAAATGTTAGCTTTAAACTCTCAGTTTGTAGCAATTAGCACAACTTAAGGAAAAGATGAATTTTAGAAAAGGAATGTTAACAGGTGCTCAAGGTGTTCTAGCCGACTGTTTCCCTACCTCTTGTGTCACATAAGATGTAGAGTTTCTGGGTTTCGCGACATATCTCTCGATATCATATCTCTCCCTCAGTTACTTGCTCCCTGCCGAGCAAGAAATCTGAGCGCAGTAACTCTCTGAATGCTCTGAATGCTATTTCCCGTTTCATTTGACGTTCAAATCTAGCACATTAAATCAAGTCGACTTTAAGTCAAGATATTTGACGACAAGCTTCATTTCCCTCCAGTTCCCTTTAAGTTTCGATTGTGGTAAAATAGCTTTGGTCACATTTTAATGCAGTGCTTTAGACTTACCATACGTTACCCAAAAGCATAGAATCGCGGTTATGAAAACAAGTTCTTTCATCGTTGTCCTTTCAACGGTTGTCTTCCAGAAAAGGTTTAGAATTATGGAGCTGTATTTCCTTGCGAACTTTTCAGTGTGTACATATTGTGATGTTGGAATGTAAATATCAATTATCGAAGCAAGTTTCGACAAGTTCTCTGAGTGTTATTTGAGTCTCGGAATAACAACACAGTTACGTTCATTCTAGGAAACAAGATGATCTCTTGTAGAAAACTATTAGGGCAACTTTCTTCCTCAATTTCATTTTCCTTGTTAATTTGGGATTATGGAGTTAAGGGCACATGAGTCCGACTCAGTTTTCTTTTCCCGATGAGTGCGATATTTTGATAAAAATCACGAAAAGTCAATAGTTTTAGCCGAGAGATAATTACGTTAAGCCGTTATTGTTCGGCTGAGGGTAATGTACAGTGGAACCTCGATTTAACGAACCTCTATATCACGAAGTACTCGGTATAACCAGGATACTCTTCAGCCCGGACAAAGTTACAAGAAAATATATGGAAAAGAACCTCAATATAACGAAATCCTTGTTAACACGAACACTTTCCAGAGGCCCAAACGTATAATATACTCCGATATAACGAACAAATGTCAAAACGTGACTAAAGACAAATGCGAAACAGACAAACTAGAATCAAAATCTTTCAGTTCTGTAACAATGGAACAACTTCACAGTTAACAGCTTATTTTAAATGCCGACACTGACTTTATCGACAAATCTTAAGATCCTCTTTATCCTTTTTGTCTCTTCTTAGTTCTGTTAAGTTGAAATCCGCTTTATTTTCAAAGGCTTCTTGCGGTAAAAGGTGTAAGAGCCAGGAATTTCCATTCCAGTGCCCTTGTTTCTCCTTATGCCAGTGGCTTCCACTGAAATTTGTCCTCCGTGTTTTAAAAGCAAAGTGCCGCAGCTACCTGTACAGCGTACTGTAGCTTCATAAAAAAATCAAAGCACGAATGTTATTTACAGTAATCGTTCCGATCCCACCGTGCTGTCTTCTGATGACACTCGAGTCACTAAAATAACATTCCTTTGTTGTCTCTTGATAACAGGATTTTAGATTTTCTCATAGTTTGTATGTTCAAGAGAGCAGGTGTTACAAAACGAGAGAGGCCTTAATAACCGCTTCTTCTTCTAGAATTCTAAACTTTCGCCGATCCACAACTCCATAAGGGATGTTAATATTCCGTGTAGATCTCACAAACAAAATTATTCACAGCATTAAACTGTAAATTTAGAAAAAAAAAGTGCGAAGAAAACGAGGAAGTGTCATAGTGCAAAGGGCTCTCAGTGGATATCGACTAGGCGCAGATAGACAGGGTGGTTCTGTGGGGAAACAGCCTAAGTTTTGGTATGTGGGGGAGTTTCAGATGTTTCCGCCCGTTAAACCATTGTGTTCTAAACGAAGAGCGCACCGGTGATGTTGTAGTGATAGCACTACCACATCAATCACCAGCACTACCTCAATCAGTAAGAACAGTTTGTTTCTTCTTTAGTCCGTCACTAAGATCGTTTACAGTTTTGATTTCTACTTACGGCCAATTAAAGATCAAACTGTAACTGCTTCCGTTGAAGCTAAATGTTACCGCTTCCGAGAAAAGCTGCGAAATATTTTTTGGTTAGATTGACGCCCCCGTGATTAGTTCTTTTTAGACAGAAAATTACAGCTAGCATTTCAGTTCGGGATAAGACCCCGTATGATCAAGATCGTTTTTGAATAGAAGACAACTTAGACCGTAATCCTCGATAAAGTAATCAAGACCCGCGAACATTGATAAGTATTAATTTGTTTTGTGATTATGTTACCTGGCTTGTAGTTGTTACTCAAAGCGAAACTTATCGCTGGTTTTTACCTTTCCTTTGGTTCTCTTAATTGCCACGTGCTCGTTTCCAAAAATCGAGATTATTCTTAAGCTATGATCACAATACTTAAGTAATTTCTTCACGTAATGATTTCAGTTGACCGCTTCGATATAGTAACGCCCCAAGGAATAGGAAAAGGAATAAAGAAAGAAAAGATCCTATATTGGTTTGGTGTTTATCGCATGCGCGTGTATCAACCCGGGAATCAAGTTTCCAACTCTAGCTTGAAAAGATCCATTTACACAAACTCCGACTCCGTGTTTTTCTGAGGGTTGTGACAAATAATAATCGAACTGCATACATATCACGTCATACCACTATCCACAGAGACAAGAAGCAGATTGATTTTATAAATGTAACAAGATTTATTTATCTTTTTTTTCACGTGTGGACCTTTTTCTTTTTTTCTACGAAAGTTAGAAGACATAATACAATAACTAGCAGTAATTCTTAAATCTACAAAACTGACTTTCTTTCTGTACAAATATAGGGTATCATTGCATGCTTGCAATTGCGCGTTTGAACTTTATGCAACCCTTACGGAACGTTCGTTGTCTTTTTGCATTAACAAACATCACACTAAAATGGTAATTAAGCAAGCATACCACTTTCTGTACTCTGATGAGTACAACATGAAGAAAACAAAATTTTGAGGACAAAGTAATATCATCCAATAATATTTAACAGGAGTTGTAATAATCACAACATCCAATCATTCTGTTGAAGTAAAACTTTTGATGAATGTTTTATAGTCCATCACTTGTCCTTCTCCTTCACCCTGTGACATATCAATAAATTCTTGAAGGTTCATTGTGCTCTCTATGAAATAAAAAAATCAGTCACATTCAGTCTCAAATTCAGAGGTTAAAGTGAACATTTGATAAAACAATTCCCTGGCGGGCACTTGATATGTTAGCTGATATAAATGTCTGCAGCTAAGAGATTGTCCAAAAATGAATATTTGAAGAGACTATGAACTGTGGAAAGAAAGCCAGAAAGAGTTTTCTTTTATTTTATAACCTCCCAATAATAATAATATTGCCCACAAATGGTTGGTAAAAAAGCCATTGTGATCAGATGGCAGATGATTGTTTGCAACTAGCTCTTAAATGTCACTATCAATGAACTATAAAAACAAGTTTATTTTTCTTCCATGAAAAATAATATAGATGAAAAGATAAAACTCTTGAGCAAGCTTTCCACAGCTGACTTTGTTTTTTTTTGATGGAAGGAAATATCAGAGTGTGCGGGGTGATCATGTGATTACTGTACAGTTATTTTACATGATGCAAAGAAGCCAAAAACATTGTGTGAAAATTAATGGTTGTATTGTAATACATAATACATGGAACATATAAGCATCATTTACCCCCCTATTCACCAACTATGAGTGGAGAAATGTTACTGTATAATTTTCATCCTGGTCACTGATGATTACCAGAGCAACTGCATTTCCATTAATTTTATAGAACATAAAAAAAATCTGCATGCAGCAGCTTATTTGAAACTAAGTGCTTCAGTTTAATAACCTGGCTTTCACCAATCTTGTGATTATAATAAAGTTACTTGCATTTATTTCAAAAGGATGATACAAAAGTGTGTTGAGGAGGAATACTACATATGCAATCCTATTAAAAAATGAGTTATTAACAATTAAAATTATTCATTATTGAACATCCTTCTGGTAGCATTCTGGTTAAGCTGTTATTACTTACCTTCAGATCTGATAGGCGAGTATGGAGGAGGAGGTTTTACCCACTCTCCATTTGGTTTCTTCATATGAGACCGGTCTGAGGCAAATGTACTGAGAAATATCTCTGCTGGTATGACTCTAAATTTTCTATATTGAATGAAAGACAACTATTAAGTCTTCAAATGTAGTTTTATTTACAAGTTATAAAAGAGAACCCCTCTATAGCTTGTAGGTCCTACAAATCATATTCAACACCACTGTTTCTATGACGGAACAATTGACATTCCACTTGCATAAAAAATGCACTCAAAACTTTCTTAGACCTTGCAAATAGCAGTAGCAAGTGGTGTCTAAATTGTTAGTTATGCTAATATTTGATCTTGGCTGACAAAACAAGTATGAAAAGCAAAATATGCTTGAAAGTCCACTTTCCCATATCAATTGCACATATATAACTATGGCTTCCAAAATTCACTGAGTTCATTAGTGTTATCCCCTCAAAAAACTTGTGAGGCCAAACCTTCCTGCAGGTGTGGAGGGCATGGGGGGGGGGGGGGGGAAAGAAAGAGGGTGGAAAGAAGCAACAAAGTCTTCAGTTACAAAGGATCTAAGTAGCAGAGTTGTAAGTACACATATCTGCATCAGATATAGATGCATTCAACTACCCTTAACTCTTCCAAACTTTTTTCATACATCCTTATCTACATATCCATGGCCTTTTAGTTTACAACATACAACAACATAGCAGAGAGTACCTGTGAAAGTGTTTTTTAAGTTGTCTGTCATTTTGGATTGCCTGTTGGACATACTGTTCAAATGGACAAGGGAAAGGAAGAATGGAATCCAAGTCATATATCAAACACTTAGCATCCACCTGACGTAGTAGCAGCACATGGTAGTCCTGAAATAAAAAAAACTTGCTGATTTCATCGAAAACATAAAAGGTGGACTCTCTACTATTGTTTTTGTTTTAAAACTACATTTTAAATGACCTAAAAAGTTTTAAGCTCTCTTTTGGTTCAATGGTGAATAATCTACTTCTCTTTTCACAGCACGTTGAAGTATCAATGTTCAAAGAGAAAACTCCCCCGATCTTTCCTCTAAGGGCTAGCATTTTAAAATCAAGCAAGAGAAATAAGAAATCATACCTTCATTTCAAATAATAATAAATTTAATTAATTTATTATTATACTATTAAAAGTATCAAACATTTGACCACTATCCTTTTTCATCCAAAAAATTGGGGCTAGAGAATTTAAAAAAATCTCTCTTTTTCAGTTTTTTTGACCAAAAAGAAATCTTGCTTCATCATTCACAAAAATCCCTTACTTTGATTTGATCTCAATAAGTGAGCACTTACTTTAATGATTTGATTTAGTGCCCTCTTTCCTATAAGAACCTTCTCTCTGATAAGCAACCCATTAAAGTTGGTTTTTGTTGATAGGCGCTCCCTTCTTATTAGCACCCCTATTGAGTGAGCACCCTAATTCCAATCCCCCCTTATCTGTTTCAGTAATAGAACTGTTAGAATAAAATTGTAGATGAACATTGAGATCAACTGTGGTTCATCATCCTTTGATTGCTCACTAAAAGCCTCACAACAAAAACGTGGTCCTTATCTCAGTCTCTCAACTAATAAGGCCCTGCAAATGCACAGTTCCTTCCAACAATGGGTTCTGTCTAAAAGATTTTGTGACAATTGCTTGGCTAGTCATTCTAGCAAGGAATGATGAGGGACAACAAGTATGTTTTTCAGTCTTTTTGATCCTCAGTCAAATAAACATAAAAGCTTTGTTTCAAATTCTACTGCTTCTCAGAAAAGAAATAAGCACCCTGTCCTGAAGAAGCACCCTGGTTCACAAAAGTGCCCTCCCTTGAAGTACCAAAAGTAAATAAGTGCTCTGAGCCCTAAAGAGAATCATTAAGGTGTCTTGTGTCACAAAGTTATTGACTTACCCAAACAACTGGAGCTAAAGGGTCCTTTGCAGATTTTTGCATCCATAAAGGAACCTAGTTGATTAACATATCACAGATGATTAACCACACTTTTCAGTGAGCAAGTAAGCCTTTCTTAAATTTCTTACCATATAATATTTTACATTATATACGAAGCTGTAAACTAACCTGTCTTTTCTCATTAGATATGAACACTGAATAATATTCACTCAGGTTTTGCTCTTTTTCATCTCTTATCTGCTCACATAACTTCCAAACATTTTCTTCACTACAAAGAGGAGAAAATACATCAAATAAAGCATTACTTTGTTCACTCAGGGTTTTGTTTAACAGGCACAGAAGTCTAAATTTATTTTTTCTTCTCTTTCCTACCCCCTACTCCAATGTTGTTCAAAACAGAAAACCAAAAACCTGGCTTGCTTGAGGTCATGATTGTTCTGCAACATTGAATAGAAGGAATAGGGCTATTTATGAGGAGAAGAAAAGGTTGTCATGAATATGCAACTATCTCAGTCATATCCATGCCCTTAAGTTCATGCTATTTTGATCAAGTAACATCCAACTTGGGATCCTATATCTGAAAAGAGCAAACTAGATTAAGAAAGTATTTACAGAAAGGAAGGCAACTTTTACAATTCCAAATTTTCCTGATGTAAGATAAAAATTTAACTTCGAAACCTGGCACATAACAAAATCAAGGGTAATCCAACTAAACAGGCTTCAAAATCTCACAAAACAAAAACGACGTGCCTATGCCTATGCCTAGTTCAATTTCACCCTATAGTGCACAATAAAAAGACACGGATCAAACTCCTTTGAAACATGAACTTTTTTTTTTTTTTAACTCAAACAGTTTTCGATTGTCTTTTACTAGCGTACACGGGAAAACCCCGCGAAAATACTTACAATTTCACGCGCAAAAAATAGATCAGAGGGTAAAATGACACGGAGTGCAAACATTAAGTTATGCAGGTATTTCATAAACACGATATGCAAATAAAAGGAAAAGATAAAGGTTTTAACATTCTTATGAGAATTTCGCTATTACCTGTGTACTGTACAATTCAATGACAGAAACCTTGGTAGGTTCTAATACGTGATTTGTTGCTGATGAAATTATTTCTTTAGTTTTGATACTACTAACTCCCCCCAAAAAAAGATAAATGCTTTATCAGAAAGGTATTTATGATCCAACGTACCAATAACAGCTCGTGTAGACACAAGTTGATGGCGAGATTTCCCCTTTTACTTCAAGCGAAGTTTTAGCCTGCATGGCCATCCAAAACAACAATATGATCTTTTGATACCCACAACGAGGCTGCTGGTTACATCCGCTGAACTACAATATTAAGTGTTCAGAGCAAATATGGCGGACGCTAGGAAAGTATTTGTCACTGTGGGAACAACGAGTTTTGATCGCTTAATTGAAACAGTCTCTAGCAAAGCATTTCTTGAGGTACCTAAGATAGCCATTATTGAATATGCTGCTGCTACTTTTTTTCTGCTGATGATCGCGAGATTTGCCTTGCAACTTACGATACTAATTTACACATTGAACTGGCAGTTCTGTACTTAAAACGAGAGACACCTATTATGGACAGAAGACTCGCTTGATGATTCGATAATTTAGGCTGGAGCTGGCCCTTTTGAACCAGTATGAAACTACGATTCACTACTTTGAAATAGCGATCGTAACTTGGAACAGAAGAATGACTGCTCTAAACCGGGAATCAAGTTTCCCGCAGATTGAGGATAATTTTTATATATTATTTCTCAGCTTTAAAAAAAACAGTTCTTGTCCTATTTTACATTCACAGCTGTTTGAAAAACTAGGCTATGGTTCTGTCGTTCTACAAATAGGAAGAGGTGTTTTTGAACCAGATATCATAGATAAGAAGAATTTATCAATGCAATACTACCGATATAAAGATTCAATAGCAGAAGATATACAAAGCGCTTCACTTGTGATCAGTCATGCTGGTAAGTTCAACTTAAACTAGTTATTAACAGACTTTTAAAGAACTAGTATGCTCATAATGGCTGACACTGAGCGACCATTTGCTATGGTCGCCACCAGCTTACAAGTAAAACCTTGTGAAAACTGTGAGCTACGGATTATTTAGTCAAGTACAATACAATAGAGGTAAATGGATTGTGAGATGACGTGTAATTTCTGTCTATAATTTTCTGTGGATTCTATTCATAAATGGCTTGGAAGTAAACCTAATCATGCAAACATCCAGAAATGAGAAGACTTGTCAAGCTCAATTAATTGACAAAAAACGACAAAGCAAAATAAACAAGAACACTTACAAGACGAATGTGACCAAACCAAAGACGAAAAACACGAATCCCAGAGCTAGATATGTAACAATAATTTTCGCAAACTACACAACTAACCAAATAAATTACGCGCAAACAATATATATACGATATGCAAATAAATATAACAAGTACAAAACTGGTAACTGACAAAGGCCACTAATGAAAACAAGAAAATAAACACCTAACACGAAACTATGAAACACCAACACTAACAAAAAATGATAATACAAATTCTTGCGCCTACACTTCTACCTTGCTACCCAGCCTCATTGATACTTACAACATACTTTATTAATTTTGTTATCATCTTAAGGGGCTGGAAGTGTTTTAGAAACTTTACAAGCAGGCCGACCACTAATTGTTGTAATAAATGAACTTCTGATGGATAATCACCAGTTGGAGTTAGCAAGTCAACTTGCTGAAGATGGTCATTTATCTTATGCTACCTGTGGGTATGTTATTTCTTCTTTCATGATTTGGTCAGCCAGTTTTTCGGCAGAGAACAGATCCTTATGATTACAATTAGAAGTAGATAGATTGATAAATGTGGTAAATTTCTTGCTCAGTCAAGGAACAAAGAAAGATATTGAATTCAAATGTATTTGTTGGGACCAAAAAGCCCCTAGTTTTGAGCTACAGAACTTCTAATCTCTTGGTAAGGTGCTCTACCAACATAGGCATTACAGAAAGCTCATTTGTGGACTACATAAGGTCATATTGATACAACATATTGGTTCACCCATGACAATCAGCCAAATGAAACACATCCTGGGTTGTCCAGAACAGGTACTAAGGAAGATATAACTTTCTGTTTACAAAAACTTTTTTAGGAAAATTCCTTGTAAATTTTGTGAAAAGTTCATTTTTATTAAAAATATTTTATATTTTGGTCTACAGCACTCTAGAATCGATCATTAGAGAACAGAATTTTTCCAAACTGAAGCACTTTCCTTCTGGCAAACCTGAATTGTTTTCGATGTTCTTGGACAAGGTCATGGGATTTGATGATTCCTGACAAAGTGCTTCCATGGAAAATACCCAGTGGCACTGTGAAAACCAATTAATGGTTTCTCTAGGAATTGATGCTTGTAATGATTGAATCAGTTGTGAGTTGTTGTCCATTGCCACTTGAAGGAATTGAAGAAAATGTTCGACAATTTTTAAAAACATGTTTTGACAGTTCCTCTTTCATCTTCAGTTCTGATTGATACAAAATACAAAGTTGAATTTAAAGTGTATAACAAAATGCTTATTGGACAAAACACAATAGAAACAAAACAATGTAACTATACAATTACAAGGAAAGTTTGAAATTAACATGATAAAGTTGATAATTAAGTGTAGGTTGCTCTCATTCAACTTTGTACTTTGTATAAATCAGAACTGAAGATGGCAGAAGAACTGTCAAAACGCATTTTAAAAATTGTTGTTTATTTTCTTAAATTTGTGACATATCTGCTGCTTTCCAGACCACTTGAAGGAACATTTGAAAATCACACCAATTTCCTTAAACGTTTTTTAATGTCATAAAATACAGAATATAACTAGGAGTGATAAGCTGATAAGGTATTATGATATTCATGACAAAAAGCTGTAAAAGTACTGTGTTTAATAACATAGCTCAAGGATATTACATAGTGGAATGGAAAAGACAAGGGTTGTCTCGTTGAGAAGGAAAAGCATTGAGCTTATTTGACAAATGAGCCTAAAATGGTCTGATAAGAAGCAAGTTTATTACTGATCCCAATCTGTTTGTGTTTTCCAGTTTTGTGTGGTGTATGATGATAAATTTTGCATTTACTATTGACACAGTTACAAATGATGCTTTTTTTTGTAAAGCTGCTTTGGACAGAGAGAGATGTATACTTTCAGATAAAATGTGTGTCATGGTTACAGTTCTTACAGTAAACTACACCCACCTGGGGATTTCCTTGTTTTGCTCAGTCCCCTCACTTCACTGGGTGGTGGTGAGGCTGGGGACCGGTCATTATTTTTTGGGTTCAACATTAACTTCACAAACACACACTTTGAGTGGAGCTACTGCATTTAATGATTATACAAGTAGGATATCAACATATTCTTGACCAAACTTTGTTACACGATTTCTGATATTAACTAAACCTCTGCAATTCTAAGAGTTAGGAAACGTTTACGTATCCGTTCATATCTAATTGCGCAGATAACCCAAACCAAAGACTACGCACGTGAACAGAATGAGAATGCTGACTTGAACTCCTGCGGATGAGTTACAGAGGTCTTCAGTGCAGCACTTCATGTGACATTTGACATTTTTAACCCCAGAAGATTTTATATTTTTACACATTAGATCATTCTGGTCTGTACACTGCGCGGCAGTAGTGCAGCCTTTTCCGTAAGTCTTGACTGTTTGTGAATTGATATCATAGAAGATTTCTCCTCTGTAGCATCGATCAAATCCAGAAGTGCAGTCCACTTTTTCGTTTTCAGAGCAGTCATCAAACGACTCAGAGCTGGCACAGTTGTAGCATCTCAGCCCAAAAACTGTATCAAACAAATGAAATCAAGAAGGATCAACACGTATCTCAGCGTTATTGGGGGAGAAAGGGAAACGTTTTTCCCCTAGCCAATGTCAATTAATCTTGTTCACAAAGTAACGAATGAAGAACAGGGAATGATGAATGGAAAGTAAAGGGTTATTTCATGCTGTTTGTTTGACAGATGACGACCACAAACTTTAAAACGCCCGTATAGAGTTGTCGCTCTGCTTTTTAAACCTTATTTTTCATAGGCGCTCTCGTTGCCATCGCCAGCTTGTTTGGTTTAGTTTCCTGAGTATTTAAACAATGATTTTCAAATTTTTTTTGTGACTGGCGCGTAGATGATGTTATGGGACCAAAGCTTTAAGTCGACATTCACATCCTAGAATTATAAAGGATGTTTGCAACATTAACCTGACTTAAATGACCAGCCCCCCCCCCCCCTTAAATAAATCTTCCAATTGATTTGTGAAACAGATTTGATTATTGCAGCGTTGTTTTTAAGGCAACTGCGGCATCGGCCTATGTGAAAAACTACCGACTGAACTCCAAAACCGCGCAGCCCTGATTTTATTATATGCACTGAAGCAATGAGGACGATATTGACGAGTTGTTTCAGGCACTCAGCGGGCGAAAACCAAGAGATTACAAACAATTTATGATCTCTTGCGAAAACTTACTCATCAAAGACTAGTAGCCATATCTATTATGATGTGCAAACCTCTATATGGATTTACCCATGAATATCTTCAGTCTCGACTTATACACCGAAATGATATAACTTCGTACTGAGTGAGGAATTCCAAGAAAAAATTGGCTGTTCTACCATCCCCAACTATTCAGAGAGAACTTTTTCCTATAGAGGTGCTATGTTGTGGAACAGCCTTTCTCATGAACTCCAATCAACAGTTTCCTCTAAAGGCGGCGAATTTAGAAGTAAAGTGCGTCATTGTAGCTATGAATGAGACACGATATCCTTGAATTAGCATCTTAATAAGAAACCGCAAAAAAAAAGCAATTACTTAAAGGTTATTTAGAAAGACTTCTTTAATTGCAAACTGATTAAATTTAATGTTACACAATTGCAAGTTTTTTTCCAACTTGATTAACAACATAGACCCGCCACCTCAGAGAAGAATTACCCGAGCGTATTTGCTGCTTGATTCAGTGTGAAAAGCATGCTTACTTAGTTTTACATATTGATGACAAGCTCACATACTAAAGATCAGAGTTAACACCAACAATAATAAAAGCAAACCCTTCCCTTCCCTCGATTTCCTTTCAAACGTGCTCCGAAGCATGTTTCGGACTAAGGCCATGTATCCCTTGTGTTTACGTTCCAAATCTTGACATGTTAAACTACCCAACGTTTTAAAATGCTTTTTTCACCGGGCATTTACTGTAATTTAAGCAGACTCCACATTGACAACGATGCCAAAATCCTGTACTGTTAAACTAATTCAACCGCATAGCCTCAAGTTCCAAAAACACCTTTACCACATAGGATAACTAACACCGACCAAGTCTTTTTCCCGTCCACTATATTTTCAATTTAAAATGAAAATATGTTTAAAAATATGTGTAAGAGCCAGTTATTCAACTTACCAACCGAGAATGTAGTGAGCAAAAGCAAAACTATCTGTTTTACTTTGTCCATGACTAACACACTTTTGGACGCTTGTGCTTCACTCTGTTCCCGGTCACTATGCTTGCCAACACAAAAATAACAACGGCTTTATTGGTCGATTTTTCCCAGACAAGGAGAGTGTAATCTTTTTTTAATAAAACACGATAGTGAGAATTAAGTGTAGTGTAAACTTTGTTGACGTAAAGCCGGACAGTTCTTGCTTTTCAAAAACAACCAAAGTGAACAAAAACAAAAGGACACCAGAAATTGAATTAAATTTCCACGCGCACTAACTCTTTAAAAATTCAATAGATACATGAGCTCAGTCAGGTTGGTAATTCTTAAGTGACATTATCCCCGACGTAATGGTTCTTAGATTCTCGTTATTTCTATACAAAAGGGAAGAAGTGAACCTACTATGTACAATATTACTTGATACTTAGAGTAGTTTGTTAAAATGAGGTACAAGAAGAAGCAAACCTCCGTCAACTCTACTGACACGACAACAAGTCATCCTGCGATCAGAAATATGAATAATTAAAAAAGATATGATTTCTATACATATCTTCTCTACTCAGTTCTACGCTATATCTCAGAAATGCCACGCTGGGCAAACAATTTGTAAAGTTCATTTTCTAAAGCTTCATTCGTTCCTTTAAGTCCTTCAACAACTTTATGTGCCCACAGGAAGTACTCATCAACTCTTTCTTGTGTCCAGCCTTCTGGGGTGACACGATTGAGATCTCTCAAATTGAAGAGTTTATCTCCAAGCTTAACAAGTTTCGCCTTGTGACTAAAAAGAAAATAAAGTAAAGAAAAATAACAGTTAATTGCGACTATAGTTACAGCTGTTCCAGTTAAATCATGGTTTATGCTAATAAATTCAGCTGTTGCCGCTTCTTTGGTTGGGTAAGTGAGAGTTTGGAGCAGAGCTAAACGCCGGCACAGAACAATACAACTTTTCAAGATTCACTTTAGACGGTTGAGGTTGGACATAAAGAGTATGGAAATGCTATTGCTGTACTTTTAACTTAAAATGAAAGGTGACCATTGTCTTAATTCTGCTGTTGTTACACAAAGTTTTGATAATTGGAGCAGATTTAAGTATTTTCACAGTTGTGATGAAAAAAGGACTGAAACAAACCGATTTTGAACCAAATTTATTGTAACATAGAAAACAGAAAATCTAAAAAACCAGAAAATATTAAATCAATTTACAGGTTAATACATGTATTTTGAGGAAAATAAACAAGATAAGGTTTAAAAAAATTATGAAAAAGAGAGACAGAGTATTCTCATTGGAATAATTGAAGAGTTTAAAGAGTTTGAAGAGTTTCTCTCCAAGCTTAACAAGTTTCACCTTGTGACTAAAAAGGAAATAAAGTGAAGAAAAATAGCAGTTAATTGCAACTATAGTTACAGCTGTTCCAGTTAAATCATGGTTTATGCTAATAAGTATCAGCTGTTGCTGCTTCTGTGGTTGGGTAAGTAAGAGTTTGGAGCAGAGCTAAACGCCAGCACTGAACAATACAACTTTTCAAGATTCACTTTATAAGGTTGAGATTGGACAGGAGGAGTATGGAAATGCTATTGCTGTACTTTTAACTTAAAATGAAAGGTGGCCATTGTCTTAATTCTGCTGTTGTTACACAAAGTTTTGATAATTGGAGCAGATTTAAGTATTTTCACAGTTGTGAAAATTTAATTTACAGGTCAATACATGTATTTTGAGGAAAATAAACAAGATAAGGTTTAAAAAAATTATAAAAAAGCAAGACAGAGTGTTCTCATTGGACCCCCCCCCCCCAGCATTTCTCCCCATTCCCCTTCCAGACAAATGTGACCACTCAGATTATAACCATATGTTTGCCCAGGAACGTCTACTGGCCTTTTTAGAGAGATAACTGCATTGTACCCTGAAAAATTATAGAGAAATATCAGACATACAATATAAGCCATCCATCAATCTGTGCCTTCAAGAGGGAGGCATCTGCCACACACTTTACATGCCACTTTTTATTTACAGAGAGCTACTACATGTCAATATGCTTGACAAGTGACATGGTGTTAAAATATTTAAAACTAAAATGTGTCTAATGTGGTTATAAAAATTTTCCAATGTCACAAAGGACTGCAATAAAATTTACCAGGAACCTATATGCTTAAGGTTAGTTACTAGAAAAGGAAATGCTACTTATGAATGACTAAATATAAAAAAATCATTTATATGAACTGTGGATTGATAAATAGACTAAAGAATGATCTTTGCAGTAGTAAACACTACTTAAGCTGTGATGAAATAAGGCCCAAAAAAAATTCAGGTTTTTATAGGATTTGAACCCATGACCTCTGTGATACCGGTGCAGTGCTCTACCAACTGAGCTAACAAGCCAACTGGGAGCTGGTCATTTTGCTGGTTCATAATAAACCTGTGAAGTGCTGAATGAATGACTGTGATGATATGAACATCATACATATGAACTGTGGATTATTAAATGAATTTGAGAGTGATTTTTCAGTAATGAACACTACTCAAGAAGTAGTTTAAATAAGGCCTTAAAAAATTCAGGCCTGTACAGGATTTGAACCTATAACCTCTGCAATACTGGTGCAGTATTATCCAATTGTAACACCTGTAATCATTGTCAAGATTTTCACTTTGTTTTCTGTAATATTGGCTGCTCACAGGAAGAAGTCCCTTACTTAAAAGGAAATTCTTTAAAACTACATTCTGTTGAAAAAAGAATGTGAAAAATGATCTGTTAATCACTAAAAGTAAACTTGATCCCTGTGCTAACCTGGAAGTCTTTGCATGGACAATCTGCAGCTGTTTTCGTTCCAATTTGGGAAGTCTCTTATCATCAGTTACTTCACTAACAATATGCCGTACTTCTGGTCCAAATTTTGACTCCACTTCATCAAAAGTAGTGTTAGTATCTTCCACAGTATCATGAAGAATAGCTGCCTTCATTGACAAAAAAACAAAACAAAAAGAAAGGTAGTGTGATAAAAATTTGTTGTTCAAAAATATTCAAAGAATGTGTAACTTGGAGAAAAGTTTTAATAATTATCTGAGCTGCACTGGATTGGAAAGTGAAAGGACTAATGTGGGGGAGGTGGTGGTGAGAATGGCTAAATAGTTAGGATGAGGGGGAAAAGAGAGAGGTCCATACACTTTTATTCTGCCCTGCAAATTACTCCATCATTTCCTTACTTACCCCATACTTTGTCAATCTTAGTATGCAAGCTATTCAGTCTAAATCTTCTCTAGCAAGGTCTTGCATACAGTCATGCATGTAAATGGCACCTTACAAGTACTTCACCAAACTACACAAGTAATATGTTGCTCAACAAGATGGGGTGTTGGAACTCCTGGTACATAAGAGGGTTTTCATCTTAGAGATGTTCCAATATCCAATAATTTTCCAATTATTGATTCTAACCATTTTTAATTGTTTAAATCATAGAAATTCCTCAAAAAAATGTCAACTATCAAAACATTCCAAAGTTGTATTATCAGGCTGTTATATTGCATGTAACATGTTTAATGATGTTTATTGTTTTGTTAACTTGAGTCATATTTTGAAAACAATTTTCCACTGTTTTAACAAACGGAAAAAAAGTCACTTGTTTTTACTTGATAATTTTGATTTTAAGACAAACCATGACCCATGGAAAGATATAAAAGAAATATTTCTAGGTTGATTTAAAAAGATGGTAAGCTACCTCCTCTATCAGAGAGGAGCTCACCGTCAGTTCCTTTCACTCGGCTCTCAAATATACCTGGGAAGTTTCCGACACATCTTTGGCTTTTCTAGGCATCAAAATTTCAACTGATGGCAACGGTCTATGCACTAGTGTTTGCTACAAACCTACAGACTCACATTGTTACTTGTTGTATTCATTTTCGTGCTCATCACATGTCAAGAATTCCATACCTTTTTCGCAGTTTCTCAGACTTTGTCGTTTATGTAATGACGACTCTGATTTTAGTAAAATTTTGAGTTCAGATTCCTTCTAAAAAAAGAAGTTGAGACACGAAGAGCAGACACCAACCCAAGACAGACCCTGGTATATAAGGGAGTATGGACTAAAGAGATACGATTTTTTAAAAGGAATATGAATTCAGGCACCTGCTCCATGTAATGACTTCTCTGCCTTTCCCCGTTTCCACCCACCGAGGGGTCGGACTTCTCGTATAAAAAATGTAATAGCCATCACTTATCAGCAATTGAATAACACTTTCGTAGAAACGAGAGCCGATATATGCAGTTTTTATCTCTAAGGTTCACACAGAATTGGTGGGTAGTGAAAACACTAACCGATGGTACATAAAGATTTCGCTGTGCGAAGACTGTGCTCCTCACCTGAAGTACATCTGTATCATAAACACCTCCCTCTTTCAAGAGAATGTAAGCTACTCCGATGGGATGATTAATGTATGGCGTTTTCTCTGGGTCTTTTCGTCGTTGATCTTTATGTTTTGTGGCGGCAAAATGAATCGCTTCGAGGATTTGGCCAACTATTCGGTCAACTGGTTCTAAGCTGCTACAACTATCGGCCATATTTTTATTGTATTTGTGTCCAGGCTACTTCGGACTCAAGTTTTGCGCGGAGCGGCTCTCTTTGGGATTTAGGATTTTGTTGAATTATGATTGATGGACATTTCATAGCTGATAATTTTCTCAAAAGGAAATCACAAGATTGAAAACTTTTTGGCTTATCCATAACTTAATGATCTCTTTCTGTATAATCACTGAAATTTGAGGAATTCATCCATCTGGCAGCGTCAAAATGAAAATATCAGCTGTAAAATTGCCATCCACTGTGTTTGTAAATAACAAAAATGTATCCTCCAGCACATTGAAAACATCCGGATTTGGATTCAAATTCTTCTAACACCTAACTCCTGGAAACTTAATATAATAAAAAAGCTAGCAGCAAATATAACTTAGGGTAATATAAAATCAGATGTCCTTGAAGCATTCCAAACTTTTTATTAAAGGCGATTATTGTCATGGGTCTAGCAATGGTTTACACGACCTTAAAAATGACATCTTCCCACAATCTAACGAACGATATTAACACGTAATCCCATGATTTTCTCGTGCAATTTGGAATAAACAAACACTTGTTAATTTTTTCAAAGACCACAAATTGCACGAGCCCTAGGGCTTGTACAATTTTGTTAGTCTTTGAAAACATTTACTCGTGCTTATCATTATTCCAAATTGGACTCGAAATCATGTTATTACCTATACAAAAATGATAATAGCGCGCGGACGAGAAGATCAATAGAAGATTCTTGGCCCTTTGAAGCCGATTCCCCCTATCACCAAAATTCTCTCATAAACCATCTGGTAAAAACAAGAGAACATTTACGTCTCTTCGATTTGCGTGCAACTTTCGTCCCCATAAAAACTACTGCATTAACGTAGTGTTTTCTTGTTATGCATCAAGTATCCAGCCTGAGGGCAGCGCAATGATATTTCTTTGTTTCATTTTTCAGTTAGCTCACGGTTTCTTGTCTGTTCGTTTTTTTTTTTTTTTTTTTTTTTTTTTGTTCGTTTGTTTGTCCGTTGTTAGTTTGTATTTTTGTTTGTTCGTTTGTTTGTTTGTTCCTTCTTTTGTTCGTTCGTTCGTTTTGGTTTGTTCGTTTTTTTCGTTCTTTTTTTCGTTTGTTCGATTTTTTCGTTCTTTTTTTCGTTTGTTCGATTTTTCGTTTGTAGGTTTTAGTTTGTTCGTTTTTTCGTTTGTTCATCTTTAGGTTGATTTATTTAGAATCTTTTCTATGTGTCGTTCGATCGGTATTTAGTTACAAAAAAAAACAGCTGAAACCTCAGTTGACAATCAGATGTGAAAGCGGATTAGGTAAGATGAATCCACACAGGACCACAAACAGGCATGCGTTATAACAATTTTAATCACTTAAATAGATTTAGATTTAAATTCTTAAATGCATTTTATTTACATGAACCGTCACTGATAAATAAAGGCTCCCTGTAAACTGAGGCGGTGATAGTAATCAAATACTTTTATGATAATAAAGAGAGATTTCTGGAAAAAAAAAACTCACCGCTTTGATATCGGTGGGAAATGTCTTGGAGGGTACTGCTTTGTTTGGTTATAGTTGTTAATAATTCATGATCCTTGTATTCTCTACCTGCAGCTTTTATCACTATAATAAAATAGGATGTGATTCTTCTATTCAAGCATCATACAGAATCTGTCCAGAAACAAGTAACAGGAACTTTAAAGAGCAAACAACAGTGATAATAATTCATTCTTTCTCCGATTTATTGGATGTTTGGATGTGTACAAACACATGATCACGCTAAGCCGAGTCTCTGCCACTAGACTGATATGCTGATTTAAACAATTTTTCACGCGTTTAACGCCCGGTGACATTAGCGGACTTTTCATCAGAAGAAAACCGTAAGATGTAAGGAACAAAATACGCTAATTATTGAAATATTCATCAAATTAGTAAGAGTAGTTGTTTATCCTTATTTTGACATCTGTCGTGAATAATTTAAGTACACAAACGGTACACTGTAGTTGATATTGTTAAGCCTCGTGTATTCACTAGCCTATAATATCATTACTGTATGCTCTTAGAACGTGAAATGTTTGAATGGTTGTAGCCGGCGCTTCAGTTGCCGAATGCAGAATGGATTCAGTGAGATTTTTAGCCGTTTTTATCGGATTTGCGTGGATGTTCTATAAAGGTGAGTCCCCATATTTCAAACAAATGATTACTTCTAATGCAGCCTCAAGTTTTATGTTCATGATCAATTTAACGTTGAACTTCGAAAGTAACGACAATTTGTTTGCTGCTTCAGGTATGTAAAATAACAATTTTCACGAAAGGATTTCAAATTTTTTAAATCAGAAACACAGGTAATACACACATCACATGTCGGTGTTTTGCTTCTGTTTAATAATGTAAGAAGAGTGGAAGACATAACTTCTCGTAAACTTGCCTAGAAACACAAAATTTAAACAAGATATTTCATTCAAGAATATCACTCAGTTCTTTCCTTCAGAAGCCCTTTTTTTCAAAACACAATTTTTTTCTCTAATAAATGAAACGTTAGTATTCAGTCATGTTCTTTAAGAGGTGTGTTGTTTTGTCGAGAGACTTGAATGCAAAGTAGGATTATATGGGAAGGAAACATCACGCACATCAAGTCATTAACGATTAGGAATTTCTCAGTTTGTTATACGTCGGCGATGAGTTTGACTGTCAACGCTACGGGAAATAAGGAAATTGATTTTAAGAATTCCCCTGCATCAGTCAGAGTCTTCAACATGAAGCAGCTGGAACAGTCTTTCATCTCACAAAACAGTTATCGAAAAAATGCTAATACCCGATATTGTAAAACAACTCGACTCTGATTCAGCTTTTTTTTTTACACAAAATGCAATTTTACAGATTTTTGTGGCGAGGTCGAAAATTGATGCACACGATGGTACTGATGGTACTAGATGATCATTTAAAACAAAAGTCATAGAGTCATAAGTAAAAATGAAACTGTAGGCTAGGCTTCTCGCATTCTAGACTAAATTCATTCCGCTAAAAACCTTACAAAATTCATCCAAATCGTGTTTCACATAAGTTCTTATATTCAACATAACGTTCTGCTGATATCTCTCCGACATATTAAGTAATTTAAGCCCTGGCAAAAACTTTTTTAAGGAAAAGTGCTGACCGCTTTAAAGAAGAAATTATCATTAAATAGATCGTTGGACTCTATCCTAACTGATGGCGCCAAGAGCAACTGGCCGTTGTTCAAACCTGCGGGCGGATTTAGTTTACACTCCTTAGCTGAACAACCCGATATTCATCCACAAATGTTTCTTATAAAATAAATATGATTTATAATCAAAAGGAAGAAGAAAGAAAAAGCGGTATACTGCCCATTATGTTTCGGCTTTATTTTTCTTAAAGCGGAAAAGAGGTTGCTCAGCAAATTTAAAACACAAACTACACGTCTTATCTGCCAAGCTGAACTAAAATAAAGTAGCCGAGAAGAAATACAATAATGTTTTCAAACGTCGAATCAAATCCAGCAGCATCAAACTCGAATCGATTCTGAGTACTACAAGGTCAGCGGGAGAACCTCGACTAATTTCATTATGAATGCAGTTCAGAAGGACTGAGAAGCCAAGTCACGGCGCATTTCAATGCCCGCCGTGCCAAGTGATCCACAGGAATGCTAGATATTAAACTTAAAAATGACAAAAGGCAGTAAAACTCTCGTGGAAATGTTCAGTGAAGTTCAGAAAGGTTTAGCCGGCTGTTTCCTGTCTTTGTGGGAGTTCAGCGCTACGTTTTTCTCTCCGGTTCCCTTCGCCTGCACGCAAGCTTTTCTTTAAATGTGCATGCAGTGAGTCGCCAGAGATTTTAAAACTTGGAGGTAAATTCAGATAGCTCCAGAGAAAATATACACCGTTTGTATGACGATGCCCGTATCTTTCTTGAAGAATGGTTAGTAAGACAATTGCTCGAAAGTCATCAAACTCACTCTTTGACCTGCTTCTTACGCTTCCGACAGTAGAACTGAATATCGAAAACCTCTAATTCCTTCCGTTTTGTAACTTATGTTGAAAACATTACGATATAATTACACTCAGCTATGAGACATCTCGTCACCATCTCTTCACTTAGTATGTCCTTAAAATCCATTGCAAAGCACTTCAGCCTTACAGAACTGCAATCACTTACTAATTTTTTGGAATTTATGCAAAACTTGCTGCATTGCATTTTCTCAATTGATTTTGAATAGTACCGCCAGTTGGCAAAATCAAAATGTTATGAGTTAACTCGCCTGTAAAAGTTCACCTTAAATTCAACTTCATTCGAATAATTTATATTAGTAGTACGTTATGATATCTCGTCATTGAAAAATAAGGCAAACTTCATGGCCTACCAAAAACGTTTTAGAGTCGCTCTCTTGAGATGATAACATACATTAGATCATATATGATAATTACTATCATAGTATCGATGACTTTATTCAACAATCCTTAACCGAGTCGCTCGCGGCTCGGTAAATATCCATTACTTTCACTTACCTGGAGGTTAATAATTTTTTTAGTATATACAAGTAAGCAACTAATTTCCGTCATTATATCACAAAATGGTCTGAAAGTCAACTCTCATTCGCGAGCGAATCAATCGGCGCGTGCAGAAAGCACCATACACACCACCATACAGCTGTGTGTTTTACACTTATTTATCAGTCATATAGCTTCATAGACATTATAGGTCATATAGTTTTCGAAACTGCTTATCAAAACTAGCTTATACCAGTGTGCAGGACGCGTGTAACATGTGAACATCGTAATGGCACAGCTCACTGCCGAGCCCCTGTAGCTTAGTGGTAGAGTATCGGAAGCGCAGAATGCGAATGTCTAAGCCGGCTCTATTTTTCATGGGGAATCAGATTTTTTTCTTTGCCCACGCTCTTGACAAGACGGAAAAAAAACGTCTTTCCCTAAAAATTATTTTGTTCGATAAAATTTTGTGTAAAATTAAAATTGCCATTTTCATAAACTAATTAAGAAGAAAATATTTTAATAATATTGAAACCAACTTCAACTGGCAACAACCAGCTAATCTCTTTGTTAGTTCGTCCTAATGTTTTGTTTTCTTTTGTTTCTTTGTTTTTCTTTTCACAATTAACCTTTGATAGAATTCCTTTGCTAAAGGATATGTTCAAAATTATTTGAACGTTCACTTTACCCGGGTAATTAATTATTTCTCAGCAGGAAACCGTGATTATTGTTTCCCTTTTGTGAATACTTTAAGATTCACTTTAGCCTTCCCTTCTTATTTGCGTGGTCTTGATCGTCTAGAAGTTAAAAACTTGCTTTGCTCCATATGGTGATAGCATCTGAATTTCACTGACTGTAATCTCCTTTGTCGCGCTTAATTGAAATGTTCAGTCAAACTAAAAGTAAGATTGAACGTCTGGTTCAGTTTTCAAAATGAAACCCAGTAAAATGTTTTATCTGACATGGCTCCTATTTAGCTAGCTGATCTGCTAAATTTGATGTGCCACACATCTGAACAGAGAAGAAACAATCAGATACTTTGTATCACTTGTAATTTTGTGTTGATTAATAATTAAGGAGAGTTGTCCATGTTACGTGTTCTGAGCGGCGGAATGAAACTAAAACTTTTGCTTCCAAATCTCATTTAAAACCGCTAATCCAATGGATGAAGTGGTACTGAAACTAAACAGAGTGCGTGAGATAGACAAAATACTGACGCTTTTACCGAGAATAGAAAAGAGTACGTACAAATATTTATCTTGATTGAAAAGTAGCTATGGAAACGCAGAACATTTTTGCATAAGTAAGCCTCTTGTGAAACACGATTTCAGCAGTACAAGGCAAATACGTACAGTTTAATCTAACGTGACAACACATGAAGCATGATTAATTGATGTTTCATGTAAGTGACAACTTTTAAAGATAATCGTCATGGTTGGCTGAGATACTATGATTAAACTGACGACGAAAAGGGTTAATTGAAACATTGTCAGTAACACCTGCAGCTGAATGCAAACATGTAGTCGGTCACAAACCTAAACTCAAAACTTCTACAAATGACGATTTTCAGCTCAAAATGAAGCTATGTCCTTTAGTTACGCTACTAATCTCATGGACGCTGGTTTTCTCCAAAGGTAGGAATATTTGTAAAGAGAGGTTACTTATTCTACAGGTATTTCACATGAAATATTGCTCTACGGAGAGAAAGAATCCCTTCGAACTAAACAGCTCATTCAGATCTTCTGTTTTGGCCACAAAACAAATCAACAGCTAAATCTTTATCAATAATGTCAGTGAAAATCACTCATCCAGTTTTCGGTAACGATTATATTTTTCAACATCTGTCTGTCAGACTCGAGGAACATATGCGGTGATAATTCCTCAATCGAATGTTTTAAAACAAAAACATTCTTCCAGCGAAGCCGAATCGGCACACTGATATATAAACATTACACGTTGGGCAAATTACAGTATGATAGGCTTGCCATGTATAGCAATCCGCGAGTTAGTAAGTGTCATCTTGTCCTTTCCGTCGCTTTACATAGGCTAAATATCTCTTCACGGCAACCGCTAGCTTTAATAGAATTGTTATCCTGTTTGAGAAATGTCAGTGTAGATTTATTTATAGAGGCTAAACGTATTTCGTGGTAAGAACCAGCCACAGGTATTCAGAGCGATTTGATTCTTGTTTTGTCTGTAAAACCGAATTTTCCGAATAGATGTTGTTTTTACAAGAAAGGGACCACCAGGATTGAAAGTGTTTTTGTCATGTTATGCATGTAAAGCAAATGTATCGAGACTCAAATTGCCAGAAGGGAATAATTTATGTCCGACTGGCGTGTGCTAATGCGCATGTGCAATCATCGGATACTTAAACGAGCTCATGGTTACCTTGGTGGTCTAAATATAAATTTTTCATTAAAGATGTTTTTAAAAAGCTCCTGTCGTGAAAAAAAGATTCAATTGATTGACAGAATATAATTTCAGTCACCTTTCGAATTAGCTTTGGTCATATTCTTTTGGAACTTGTTTCACTTTCCTTTGTCCAAGTCTCGTGACAGGCCGAACAGCATCTTTTTTTCCTTCCACTACTCCAAATTTATAATTTTTCTTATTCATTTCTTATTTAATTCATCATCTTTCTCATTCTATTAACACACACGAAGCTGTCTTTATTATTGATCCTAGCAGGATGAGGGACGAGTGTGAAACAAGAACTCGACAGTAGCTTGGTGCGCCACAGAGTTTCCTGTAGTACATGCAGTGATAAAGTATCAGGGCGTTTAGGATTCGACTAATCATGCATGGAATTCACATGTCGTTCTTTTTCTACCGCTCGTAGCAAGACGAGTATCATCATTTCTCATTGCAGAAAATGTTGTCGAATAACTTGCCAAGTCTTTCGTCATTTCGCAACATTTTTGTTTAGAAAAAAAAGCTGAGGAAAACCGTATAATCGATGGTAATTAGGAAAGAAATAATACGTTGAGTTTTCATATGGCCAGTACATGTACGTAATCAAGAAAATAGATTTGTAAGCAGACAGAGAAAAGATCGTTATTTTCGTGAGACCTTGGGGCACTGAAAAACATCTAACCGAAAGCTGGGTGATAAAAAGCTTTATTTTATGTATGAGAATTATGATATCTTAAAAAGAAACTGTATAACCGGCTCAACGACTTGTTAAGAAAAATTTCTGGCGTGGCTTGCCATCGAAGGTTATGTAGACCATTTTCTGCCACTCGCAAACATATCGCAATCAATTTGTATCACAGCGTGTCGCTCCACGTTTTTTCCGATTTCCTTTGAACATACAGATTTCTCATCAACACTTTACATCCGCATTTTATATATTCCAAAGTAACCAGTTAGCTTGAAAAAGTCCTAAAGCGACTCTCGAAAGTGTCGAAACACTGTACTTGATGAGCCTTTCCATGTCTTATTTTGCAGGCACCGGGCTGAATTGTCACATTTGTGACCCTTCGAAGTCATGGGATGAATGCAATGAGAAAAGCTCACAATACAAGTGCCCTGAGAAGATGCAGGTTTGCTACAAAACACACAGCGTGGAATTTAATAATGATGAAGAAGTTCATCGATATCGAAAAGGCTGTGGCACAGAGGTATTTTGTACAGGACAGGAATGCAAAGAAAAAGGTACATGGTGCGATGTACAATGCTGCAATACTGACGCTTGCAATGAGTCTACAGTTTGGAATGCCAACTGCAGGACGTTCATTGTGCTTGCATTACTCACTGCCGTCCTACTTCTGTAATTTTAATCTTTCCTTGTGGAATCGCATAATTTTTACAAGCTCCAGAGATTGTACACACAACACATTGATCGCCACAGTTCAAAGGGCCTTTTATATTGTTCAGCCTGCATTGGATTAATATGCTGTAATGAACATGCTTACACATGGAGGAGGGCTTCCCCCACACATAGATATAACAAGCTACACGAGTCTCCTGATTAAAGAACCAAAACAATAACCGCGACGGAATTCCAAAATACTTCTTCAAAGGCTATACTTTATCAATCTGCAAATGTTAAACATAAAGTTGGAACGAACTTGGAGAGACTTAAGACATATCTCAAATTGTGTAAAGGAATAATTTGCTTCTGTCATGGTGTTTTTCCCTTATTTTCTTTTCTGAATTAAAATGGAATTCTCCATTGTTTTCAGGCAAACAGTTCTTACATTTAAAAATATTTTTTCTGGGAATTGAAGGTCGAAGAAATTGTTGTTTTTTTTTATTTTTACAATTACTTGCTCTCATAAACTCAATCTTTTTAAACCAGCTTCTCCCAATATTTTTTTTATAAACCGTTGGGACTTATGAGTTGACGTTTTGCTATAAAGAAGTCAAAATAAAGTATTTGATTTCATCAGAACTGTTTCAATCCACTTGTTTGGTGTTGTACATTGCTCAGTTGTAGATACTGTCATATTCTATGATGTCTATTGTACTTGAATTGAAACGAGTAAGGAACACTGTTATGTACTCTTTGAAAGTACTATGCGACATCACAAAGTCCTTGTAGCAAAGGGTGTCGTAATGAGACCCATGCACGAGGGATTTTTCTCTCCATTTGCATCGAAAATGGCAAATGCAAAGTCAGAGGGTCTCAGCAGGGTGGTGCACTTTTACGGCTAACGGTTAAAATTTTGGCCCTTTTACAGCTAACGGTAAAAATTTCCTTCCTTTGTGGTTTTTGGAAGATAGAAAAGGGGGTAAGTTTCTAAAGAAACTGTGGTGCTGCCGGCGTCAGTGAGTATAGTAGGGTAATTGGCATTATCAAATGAGTTGATTACCTAAATTAGCCGTAAAGAGTTTAAAAGCTGTCGTTTCGAGCGTTAGCTCCTCGTAATTTGTTCTAACGAAGGGCTAACGCTCCAAACGTCAGCTTTGAAACTCCTTACGGTGGCCGATTAACTCAATCAACTCAGTTGATAATACCAGATTACCCTGTATATACATCGAGTCTCTTTTTCGGATAGCATTCTGACAATGTAAAATAGATCAATTCTATTGTCAACTTAAGCTTTTAACAATTCGACCACCATTTTCCATTGTTACGTCATTTTTTAAAACTTTTCTTTTAATCACAACGGTTGAAATTTGAAAATTCTTACTCCTAACGGTTAATTCCATGGAAACCCTCAAGTGAATCCCTCTCTGGTAAACTGTACGTCAGTGTATTGGCCGTTAACGTGATGGCGAAATGCGTCGATTTCGTAGTGTCGCACGGCGGTGAATGTATAGCCGAAGCGATATCACCATTTATTACACCCAATTTGAAATCACTGGTGGTCCCTGTAATCTGATTGGCTCTCATTGGTGCGATTTATTCACGAATCGCACCATTTTTTGCTTTAAATCGCATCATTTTTCCAGCCAATGAGGAGGCTACACTGAAAACAAAACAACCCATCAGATTTCAAGGATTCTTTAAAGTAACCAATGTAATAGCAGGAAAATGAAAGACAAAGAGTAACATGTGACAAATTTTGCAACCTTTGTTTCCAAAACTCTTGATTTTCCCCCCTAAAGAAATGGATGAATTTGATTTCAAACTAGTTCAGTTCTGCATCAATAACATATTTGAACTGACCGAGTCCTGTATTTGGGCGATTTCAAAATGGATGTAATAAACTGGTAATTGAACCTCGTGTCGTACAATTTTGGTCTGAAATCATACTTGTGATTTCAAATCGAACTCACGCTGTGCGCTCGTTCGATTTTGAAATCACACGTATGATTTCAGCCCAAATTGCACTCCACTCAGTTCAATTACCATTATTTATCGTATCGAGATGATTATTACGACTAAAACTATGTTGAACATTAATTGAAGGCCATGGAAATCATTTTAATATCAGTAATTTATCTTTATTCTCATATATTTCTGCCATGGGAATACAATCGTAAAATTTTACAAATTCACGACGTCTACTTCACCACTTCAGTGTTAAAAGTATAAAAAATATTCTGTAAGTCTAGAGGAATGTTAATTAATTCTGACCTGGTCCCTACTTCCCAAGCTCTACTAGACTTCAAAACAATCAATGAAAATTTAGTTCTGTATCCGGCCAAAGTGAACATACTGTTACATGTGGTAGCTAGCTAATGAGAGGGCTTCTTACCGTAAGGTTAGTAAAAATAATAACGATAACAATAACAATAATAATAATAGTGATAATAATAATCTACTGTATCCTCATACGGAGAGATACAAGCTTCTGCGAGTTTATTCCATGACTTACTTTGGACCAAATTAATATGAATCCTTACAATCTGCTATTTTTAGACGTTATCTTTAATAATGGGAACTAAATCGTTGATCTAGTGCATCTCATTTGGAATTAGAATAGAACAAACTTTACGGCAAAGAGAAATTTAACCTGCAAACTCTCTGAGTTTGGTACAATTTAAAACAAACGTTAATACTGCTCCATTCCTTTTTTTCTTAATCCGACTTCAACCCGCTAATACACACCCATCGCCGTAACGTTACAGATTAGCAACCAAGGCCAATAGGCAAACGTCAATACTGCTCCATATTTTAACTATTTAATAAAGTACAGCTTGAAGCATCAGTAATCCGTGCCAGTTTTGACCACTTTCTGACACATTCAACTTTTTTGATCAACTGTACCTAGAGCATAAAATCCCCTGAATACAACCGGAAATCAATCAAACTAACATTAAATAGGTTCAAGCCACCGTACACCATGTAAGAAATGTGTCATGTTACTGAAGAAATCATAACTACATATGTTGCCTAAGTTTGGTTTAAGAACACTGCATCTTTTGTTAAGCATATACAAAGACTTAAGTTTTAATTTGGTCAGTTTAAAAAATGAGGTTCTTGTGAAACAACGAAAAGTCTTAAGTAATCGAAGAAGTCTTAATCACGTGTCACAACCCGGTCGGTTCTGGTGGAGCGCCGCCAAGATGGTCCGTGCTCTGATTATGAGAGCCCAAGTCATTTCTCTTCTATAACGTCTCCTTCTTCAGGTAGTTGGAAGCTGACTTGCCGGCGAAGACAGCTGTGAGCTGCAGCGCTTCCCTGGAAATAACAGCCATTCACCATTTAAGCAGTGGCCTAACTGGGTTCTAAAACTGAACAAAATCGGCCAACCACACACACTGAACACGAGGGATCGGTATCATGGCCCTACATAGAGTCATTTTGAACTTCTCAACCCTACTTAGCTTACAAAGAACTATTTGTAGGGAGGTAATTTCTAGTGTTCTAGTACTGAGTTGGGGAATGGGATCGATAAAACATAATTTTTTCTCAAGGGAGCACAAAATAAACTAAACTAAACGGAATAGAAAGCTGCTAAGCAAAACAAAATAAGTGCTTAACCCTAAGAAAACAAAAAATAGCATGAATAATAAAGAAAGAAAAGAATCAGCAAAAATAAACAAACAACATAACAAAAAATGGGTTCATTACTAAACAAACCTTTGGCAGTTAAGTAATTAGTGGTTCATCGCTTTCTAAACAAAGTATACGTAAAACTGGTTAAAACATGCACAAACAAATAAACAAATATTAACATTCCGAGCACATTCCAACCGCCACGTTACTTTGTTGGCCTGCACTTTAAAGAATTGTTCATGGGTCGGTTGGTGTAGGTTGAGTCTGTCGCCAAATAATACTAACCCTAAAAATTTGCTTTCTGTAAATTGGCAAGTTAATCAATATTGCCTAAGTTGGAAAATATCAGTCAAAAAGGCAGCTTTGGTTGGGTTGATACGAATGCTTCCTTTAGGGGCTGCCCATCATCTTCTCGGTTTGAGAGCGTAGGGTTGCAACGACTAACCCGACATCTACCTCAATTTGACAGATGCCTCAGTTTCGTATGCCGGATAAAGAGCGCCATTTAATTGTCTACGCAATGACGCTGAACATGTTTGAATGAGGTGGCATGAGGAACTCATTGTAAGATTGAAGACACACAAGATACTAGAATGACAATTTCACATTATTCCAATGCCAATTATATTCTAATGCTTTTTTATTCCACAACACACAGAGTTGAGAGGTGATTTTTCTAATTCTTTCCCCTTTCCAGACTCCCTCCCGTAAATTTGCGAAAATTGAATGTAGCTGAGACCGAGAGGACTTCCTTGAAAAAGAAAACCCAATTATTTTTCCAAGGAAAACAATTCCTTGTTCCCCTTTGACCCTTTAACTCCCATGAGAGACCAGAACAGAATTTCTCCTTACAATATCAATACAAGATCAACTAGATAAGTAATGAGAATAAAGAAAATATCAATTTGGGGATAATTAGTTGATCCAATCCTAAATTCTCCGAACTAATATTATAAAAATTATATGATTGACAGTAAGGAGAATGACAAATTTGATTTGGGAGTTAAAGGGTTAAAAAACCAAAAAATAAAACAAAACAGCAAAAAGACTACAACAGAGAGAAACATTAAAATCGTCAAAAGTCGTTAGATTAGTCGACCTATATGGGAGACAAGAGGACCCGATTCGTATCCGAGAGACTCGCGGACAAACCGAAAGGATTCGTCTCTCAGGAGTTATGGACCAATATCTCTAAGCTTCTACAAACAAGTTTAGTGATATAGAAGATTTAGGGAGTGTTAGATATTTTAAATATTAAACAAAACGTTAAAAGGGTATTAAAGAGCAAATAAAACGGTTACATCAGAGCCGGGAAGTTGTTAAAAAGACAATGTACACGAGCCATAAAGCATTGTGTTCGTGCAGTTAGAAGTTTCAGGTTCATAGAACTTTACAACTATTGATAAGAAGTTTAAGCTACGAAAAGATTCAAAGGAGACTTACAGCTTTGTTTTAGACAAAACTAGTGGCTTGCTGGATTATACCGATACCAACGGACCAGCCAGCTTACAACAGACACCAATCGGTTCTACTCAAATGATCTAAATCTCAAATAACATCTTCGTATTCCGCAAAGAATTCTGATTTTTAAGTTCATGTTTGCGCCAAACTCGACGATTTAAAAGTTTTAGATCTTTAGCGTCAGTTACTCTCAAAAATTTAAAGGCTAAACTGATTAATCTTATTTTCATGCTATTTAGAAGACAGTTTGGATGGCTTTAACAATTGGCAGTATGTCAATCTATTACCCAACGGGGTACCAGAGGAAGTCTGTTAATTATACGCTCTTAAAATAACAATCAATGCCAAGGTTTTTTCCCTAGCTGTTTTTTTTTTCTACGGTTCTATTCCTCTATTTTTTATCGCCGACATTTCTTTCAGCACCCTGTTGCCTCTCTCTTTTTCCTAGTAATTTCTTCATCAACTGTAACATCAAGATATCTATCGAAAGTCTACAGCTTCTATCAGCCGTGACGAAGAACGAACGATGACCCACAACACCCCAAACGTTCAGTGAAATAACTTTAACATCATCTTTCACAAAACCTCAATGTTAACGACAATTCCTAAACCTACCCAGCTTAATTAGCTGAAGTCTAACCATTCTTCAGGTGTTGTCTTTCTTTTAGCAACAGTTCCTGCATAGTCACTGTTTATTTTTTTGTTTTGTTACATTGCATATCGTCATATTATTTAGCTCTAACTTTCTGCTAAAATACATTCCGCGGATTTGGCGTTCCAAAAATACATCGTAATAATATTTGCAAATTGATACAACGTTTAAGCACAATTCATCAAATTCATTAATAGAAAAGTCAAGTAAGAAAGTTTTTCTCCCGGAAATCTATCATTATATTTCATTTATTTCAATGAAAGATTTGCCTACGTTTCATTTATTGTGTCGTCCACATTGTTTTCGGTAAGTAAAATTTTTGAATTATCTTCGACTCGATTTTCTTCCACTTTGGTATCACTCGCTGTTTCATGTTTTTCACTAGGTGCTGTCGATGTTGGCTGTTCAGCGGTATCACTGGTGTGTGGACTGTGTTGGTTACTTACAGTCTCTTGACTGGCCGTCGAGGCCTGAGCCGAGTGAGTCGGTCCCTCTGCTTCTAGAAAGACGTCTTTAGGATCTAACAAATAGAGCCAATTCAGTTCAGAAGCTTATCATGAAATTTTTGTTGTTAAAAGGAAGACATGTTAGCATTGCAGGTAAAAATATTCCCTTTCGGTTTAGCACAACAACGATCCTTAGCCTTCATATACAGCAGGCTTATTCTACCCCTCCTCCTTTGACACACACACACACACACACATACCTGCACACTAAACAGAATTAAAATGGAAGAGTCAACGGTTATAAGATCGTGTTTTGCTCGTGTGTCCTCGTCTCCGGCATAATTGACGAAACAAAAAAAAAATGTTTCCCGAATATTCGGTTTTTTCGTGGTTTTCTGAGTAAGAGAGTACAGATACCTCGATGAAGGAGTTCCCTTTGAAACATTATCTGTTTTTTAAACTCTCTCTATACCCTCCGATTAATAATCATAGCTTACGCAATGATAGCTTATCTCTGAATATAAGAAACTTGAGTGTTTCCAAAACTTACCAACAACGATTACTTTTTTATCTGTAGCACTTTCGTCGGCCGTTTGGCCGCCATTTCCGCTACTAGGTGTTTTTTTCAGACTTGTTTTCTCAACAGGTTTATCAGCTTCTGTAAATGATCTTGATCTTCCCTTATCGGATGTGCTACTATCATTAGTCAACGTTCTTTCTCGGTTGGTTCGATCGTTCTCTGACACGGAACGAACACGATGGATGGACCCTCCCGCGGTACGCTTCCGTGGAGACGCTTTAGCTGCAAGTTAATAAGATGATTCACGTTAAAACACAAGAAATATTAACAGACAGCACATTTAAGATGCTGTGGGATCGTCTGTAAAAGCCAGAGTAGGCAAAATTTCGAGAATTACTGCCGAGGACTTAACCTGCAGGCTGTGCAAGGATACATTCTCTAAAAAAGCACACGTCCTACCACACTTAGGTGTACACTGTACCTGCTGATTTCTTGAACACGAAGTTGGACATAAATTCTTGGAATCTTGTGCAGTAAAATGATGGTCTGTGGACTGACACTGTGTCCTGCAAAGACAAAAATACGCTCAGCTACTATGATTTATTACCATTTACAATTGACAAAACCTGTTTGACAAAAGCCAGGAAAACTTACCCCATCATGAAGAAGAGCCTTCCAACCGTGTTCTAGTTTCTTTACTATTCTGTTGGCAAAGAAGAGCATAGATTTAATTTCGTACCGTAAAATTTTAAAAGCATCAGGTATAACCTGAAAAGTGGGGTCTTTTAGTAACTTACCTGTAACTTTGTAGGATATCTATGATTCCAAGAAATAGAACCAAACGTTCTCCCTTGGCGTTACGAGCTGGAATACCACCAACCCTGAAACACAAGCACAATAGAATTAAAAGTGAGTTACCTTCGTCACTCAAGTCCCATCCGGAATAGTACTGCAGTTGTCATAATCTGTATCCGGTGTTAAGAGGGTGGACGATTCTAAGTACTCACGGTCTCTCTTCTGTTTCATTTCCTACAGTGATTGCTTCCCAAGCTGAACTGAAGCCTTCTCTTCCTTTTAAACTTCGAGTACGTGACAGAGATGTGCTGCTGCTCTCTGAAAAGAGAAGCAAGCTTCATTTTTATCACTTCTTTTTTTCCAAAAACAAATATTTTCAGTGCTTTACTACGAGCACAGTACCTGAATTAAGATGATTTTACGGTGTACATCTAAGTGATAATGAACTGTTACAAGTACATCTAATAAATGTTTGACATTAACGACAAGTCCAAATTATCGTCTAAATAATACATGTACATACTGATTAACTAATTTAGTGTACAGTCTAGAGAGAGACTGATGAAAACACACCATGCATCGACAGTACATGGAATATTTACCAGGACTACGAGCTCTTGTTTCCCACTGTCCATTGCCAGATGTCATGAGGGTTGTATCATCAGTGGGGGAAGATAGATGACCTGATGGAGTCTCTACTCTGGTTGTTGGTTTATCAGTCGCAGGTTCACTGTTCGATCTTTTATATCTCGCTACAACATTCGTACTAGTCTCTTCTACTTTATGAATGGCAAGAAGGAGACTGTAATCCATGATTTTGAAGCTTTGTAATACCTGCACAAAACAATAAATAACATCGATTGGTCAGCAGTCAAAGCATGAACACTGGTACTCCATTGGCTTTTAATAATTGAATAAAATTATCAGTTGTTCTGACCTGTCTGTCAATCTCAATGTATGCTATAGACCATTAAATACCAGTATGAAGACACGAACAAGTACATTACAACGCTATAAGGTAGCATATATACTCAACTACTACATCACATTTGTGAAAAAAAATGAGCTGAATTTGTGATTACGATGATATAATTAGGGAAAAAGTGGCAAAGGAACTAATTAAAAGGAATTGATAACTTACTCTACAATCTCGTTGGATTGTCCTCATTACTGCATTGTAAGTTTCTGGTTCAAGAAAAAGGCCCTAGAAACAAAGCAATAAGTTTGAGGAAGGTCAAATAACAATCTTTATTATGCACAATTAAGGAATTCATGCATTTAGTCCATTAACGGTTGTGATGATTATGATGATCATAATAATAATAATAATAATACCACTAATAATAAAACAATAATAACATTATGAATAAAAAGGAGGATAGCTATAACAGCGATAATGATAATAATAATTTAATAATAATAATAATAATAATAATAATAATATCAATAAGAATAATCAGTGGACTGAAAGTGAGTTTTGTCAAAAAGAGCAGTTACCTCTGGGTGATCATTCAAAAAATCCAAGTCTTTAAGTGTAGGTGTTTCTTTGGCTCTTTCTGCCTTTGATGCTTTTCTTTTGTATGTTGAGCCCTATTAAAACAATGTATATGTGAATTAGTTGAAAGGATGGATGGCATGTCTTGAAAATTGTACATACACCACTATGGAATAAATACAAGGGCTTTCTATTGATACATGTAGGTACCAGTTAAAGTTTATGGCAAAGAAATGTTTGTTACTGACTATGTATACGAAGTATAACTGGTGGTCACTTTTGCTTAAGATGTCAACTTGAGTTACAAACCAGTGCTATTGCAGAGGGAATCAACATGTCCAGTTTATATATTTACCTTAAGGTCATATTTAAAATGTATTTTGTATCCTCGAGGTAGGAGGTTGTTCATTATTACTAATCTGATATTCTTTCCCCCACACTACAATGAAAACAACAGTAACAGTTAGTAACAGTCAAATCATTTGTGAAATTGAAACAAAAGTTCTGAACAAAGCTTTTATGTTACCTGATAACAGTATAAGCCAAAAAACTTTGGCAACAATGTTCTTTTGTTCTGATTTAAATTCTATGAGGAACATAAAAAAATTAGTCAACCAATGAATTTCACTTACTGAGTATTAGGATGCATACAAAAGACAGTGCAACAGTGAAACAATGATATCAATATGAGTGACATCATTCATGCACACAAAGTTATAACATCTAAGTGTGGAAAAGTTTTATGTGCCCCCACCCTCTCTTCCCTGGTCACTGGTGGGAATTACTTGAGTCTCAAGTGCCTGTAGCCATGCAAGCACTAGTGCTTCTTTGATTCTGATATAATGAACATCACACAGAATATTTCCTAACCAAAATGTGTAGATAATTATAATCAACAGCATTACTCTTTCCATGTGATTTCAGTTAAGAATCACCATTGCACCTCTCCAACAAAGCATGTATTTAGCAAACATCACATGAAGACATAATACTAATTTATGTGATTGGTGTTTGTCAACCTTTTTTATTTTTTCACAAAGGAAACCACTTAAAAAGGTGTGATCCTTGTTGTTATGAATGCAATTACACCTTTCATGAAGCAACAAAGTAAAGCAACTTTCTTAAGACTCCACTTGTGATTTCTTTCAATTTCTTCCCGAAGACTTTTTCTTTGAGGTTTTTTTATTTTTTCAAACAAAATGATTATAAAATTTGTGAATGTGAATCCTATATAACAAGACTTTCTCCCACTCAGCAATTCATTGAAGCCTTTGGGATGCAGCAAGGGTCAACAGTGACTAATGTATTGATTTTGCTGAAGAATGCAAGTTTAAGTAGGATATAATTAATAAATATTACTCTATCTAAATGTGTTAGCAAGTGTTCATGCATTGGTTTCCTACATGCTGTAGGAACCACTCACTAAATAATATCCAGGCAACAATTTCTGAAGAAATTCTGCCTCCTTGTGTTGAACAGTTTTCACAATAAATTCGTCATCATTTGTAACATAAAACAGGGAACCACTAGCTCCTGAATTAGTAAGCTCCACCAACGGTTCATTACATAGTGCCATCTAGAGAGGAGAAAAATTCAGGAGTCAACACAGATTTTCAGTTACAATAGCCATTAGAGGGATTTCTTGCTCAACAGTTGAACTTTTACAAACTCACAAAGGAGAATAAATGCCAATCCCAATGCAAAATAAGACAATGCAGCTAAAAACTGTCTTTTCTATATGATTGAGAAAATACAAGTGCAGAAAGTTATTAGCAATATTGCCATGGGTGGAAAAAGGTTACACAGTACATATAAATTTGACCCTTCAACTCCCAAGATCTGATTGCTAATTCTCCCCTTGAGCTGCTACACATATCCTTGTGAATTAGTTATGAGAATTTTGTGTAAGATCAAGATAACAACTTCCACCTGATAACTTTGAATATTCTCATTACCTGTTTGCTGGATAATGTAAGGATATTATAGGGAGAAGTTTTCATATTGATAACTTCAGGGAGTTAAAGGGTTGTGGTTAGAAGTACTGCAAGAAACAAGCTGGAAGAATTGCCGTCAAGTTGTTGATGGTTCAACTTGCCAATGCCAACTCGCCGACGTATAAAATCAAGTACAGACATCGGCGAGTTGGTCTTCAATCCAATACAGCTTATCAGAAGAGAGACATATAGAAAAGTAAAAGATATTCAGTAGAAAAACAATTTTGTTTTCTTCCTACAAAGTTTCTATGGATCTCATGGTGAATAAAGCAAGGCAAACATCACCAGTGACTATAGAAGCTTCAGATGCGAATGAGATTTATTGTGTGACAACAACACTGTAAAGACTCATCATGTCAATCAGTCAGATTTTTTAAAAAAAAACTTTGCTTTCTAGACAAGATCTTAAGTAAAAAAATAATTTTTTTATTTTTCTTTTTAATAAAAAACATAAATTACTTGGATATTCAAAAATATACAATAACAGATCATGAGGAATGAAAATAACATATTAAACCATAATTAGTGTAATGTTTCAGGCTGTACCAATTCTGGTTGCAAAGGTAAGTCAAGTTAAAGAAAAAAGTTTTAATTTAATATATTTGAAAAAGGCCAAGTCAAAAGGAGGTCCTGATTTTATTTTTCTCAAATTTTGACCAGTAATGATTGTTTTGATAATTAAATAACATCTACATGCAAACAACAACAAAAAAATTGTGCATATAAATACAAGGCCAGTTCTACAGATTTTACTTAGGGATCAGTTGGTATGTTGGTATCGAACAGTTCATTATTTTCTAAGGCTAAGGAGTTCACTAATGATGATAATAGTAATAATAATAATAACAATGATAAAAATAACAATAAAACTACAGTATCAGTGAAACAATTGTATACTGCAGCTATGTATGTAACAATTTTGGTGAACATTGTCACTGATCTGTTGAAACAAAGTGGGGGGAAGGAAGGGAAAAAATACTTCGAATTTTGGCCAGTGGTACTTAGTCAAGGGAAATGCTAATTTAAAGGATTTACAGGATGTCACATTGTCTTATGTTGTATTATGCAGTGCCCTGTCTAAATTCTTCTTTAGAAGGTGATCTCTGATTTTAATGACTAAGACTGCCTTACTAGAAAAAAAAATGTTACGATCATCTGAACTGTAGGAGGTATATTATTAAAATTCTAACTCCACTTGTTAAGATCAGGTTGTAGGATTTATAAGTTTCTTTAACTTTTCCTTGTGTAGGATGCTTAACAAACTAAGCCAACCTTGGCTTTTTGAGGTTGTGTTGTTCACCGTATTCAAATCAAAGAAAAGAGTATTGAGAAAAATGTACAGATAATGGTTAAATGAAACTTTAAAAAAAGGACTTTTTGGGGCTATGCTCAAGTACAGTGTATCTATGCAGAAGCTCAGTAGTCTCAATATTTAAGAATCAGTAGTTATATACAAGATAATTTCCTTATATAAGTATATGTGATGTTACTTTTCTAAGAAAAATAAGAATCATTTGAAGGAGCCAAAAAAGCTCTTCCTCTTACCATAAATTCAGCAGGGTTCATCAAAAACAAATCCCGAAAATATCTATGGAATAAATATGAAAGAATGCAATATTTAAGCAATCTGGGAATATTTTTTTGAATCTATAGTAGTCTCAGTACAATTATTCTTTTCAAAGCTTTATCACCAAAATAGTTTTATTTGAATTTTCATACACTGTACATTAGTAACATCTCAAAACAATAACCTGAGACCTTTTATATCAAATGAGTGCAAAGAGCATAAACATACCTAAAAGCAACTGGAGAGTATGATTTGAATTTAAAATCACTAAACCGATGGGATGGGGTCTCTCTTGATCCTTCACTGTAAAAAAAAAACAAAAAACAACCATTACTTCATAGAGTAAATTCCCAGTAGTGCTTAGGTAAACAAACCTGATAAACTAACATGTTACTAAACACTAGGCCAAAACCCTACACACATTTATGAAATGACTGCTATGTGCCATCAAAATCCCTTTAGAAAGTCCCAATGCATAAATTTAGTTCTAGTATAAGTTTCCTATGTCTATCAATCAGGGGAATCTACCTTGGAAATATAACAGTTTCTACTTCTGCAAAATCTTGCATCAACACATCTCGCTCTGGTTTAGCTGATAGTCTTCCAACCTGAAAGACATATACACTGTTCAGAATCTTAAAACACAGAAGGTGTGCCATTGACAGCTGTTATACACAAGAATGTTTGACAAGGAACTCACAGTGAATCCAATCCCAAGTTGAATGGCTGCCATAAGCGCTGATGAGGGAGTCTAATACGTAGTTCAAAAACATGGGTTAGTAAAATTTTTAAGACAAGTTTCATTTATCTTGAACAATAATTCCTATTTCAGAGAGATCATCAAATAAATTGTAATGACTTAATATTTTTTGAAGTGGTACATATAATTCATGCAAGAAAGTACAAATGCATCAGCATGTATACCACTTTTTCTGCACTTATTATTGAAACCTTAACTAAGATTAATTTTTCATGTCCTTGATTAAAAGCTTTCAGACCCAAGAATTAATGTTTTCTCACTTACCTTTTTGTATGTGGTTTCTCCTGTTTCATCCACCCTGCGATGTCCAATCTTGGAACGTGGGGTGGGAGGATTCTTTTCTTTGTCAGTCGATGTGAAGGACTGTGTTCGAGACATCTGAAAATGTCAAGGCACGGATACAAAAATGCATTAATCAGCTCCATCTTTAAAAGACATTTTTATTAGGAACTGTTTAAATCATGTTTTTCACTATCCTTTTGGTATAAATTCAAATTAATACCTCAAACATTTCCATGCCAGTTTGTTAGGAATGAGGCCAAGAAAAAATGTTACAAAACTGAGATATCCATTTATCTAGCTTAAACATAGATGTTGTCTAGATATTGAAATTATATTTACACTGAGCCAAAAGCTGGTATGATACTCCAAGTATGTTGCAATCATTGTTAACTTCTTGCATGAGGGCTAATGAGCTAAGTAGCATTCTTCATGCTATTAAACAACCATTCACCAAAATGGAGGTGGCTTGTGATGGATATTTACTGAGCCACAAAGCAGTAAGGTTAATACACATCTCTATCCACTGACACAAGTTTTAATGAGATAATATAGCACAAAAATATGATTTCAACTCATTCATACCTACAATGATTACAAATTTTTTGGGTGAAAATCCCATGTAAGTAGCTTGGAGGTGAATAGCAGAGGATGAATTAGAGTTTGAGTAACCAATCAGAGCCCACCTTTAACACTATTTACTCTTTTAGTACAAACTAAAGGTTGATGTTCGAAGGGGTAATGATTTTAGCTATCACCTTTTGGTGTGAACACTAAGTAAATAATAAAAACAAATGATGATAAAATTATACCAACAATAATGATAACAAACTCAATAAAATTAAGTTAGAGTAATAATATGCTGAATGTCAAAGCACTTTTAACAACAGACCCCACTTTCTGTAATAAACCATTGGGATGTTGGCAGATCACATGGTTATATTGCTGGACAAATGACATGGTAGACTGAAGAGTTCTCAGTGAGACACAGAGACCCAACAATCACTCTGAAAACACTACTTCCCTTGAAATAAACTGTGCTGTTGCTCTAATGGTTAGGTGAAATTTTCAACTTCTTTCTGTTACTGCATGATGTACTTTCAAATGAAATTCAAAGGCATTGAGACTTTGAACTAGTTGGAAAAAAACTATGTTTGGTCAGCTGACTGCTGGCCAAGCAGGTGAAATATTTCTATGTCAGCCTAAATTTCCTAATGTAACATCCTTGTTGACAGGCTTCATTAATCTCTTACCCCTAAGGGGGTAGGGTAAGTGGAAAGGAATAGGAACAACCCATTGAGCTGAAAATTTTAGAGTGGAATCAAATTAAATTGGAAAAAATTTTTCTTTAGTCACTTAAAAGGCTGTTGAAAATTCTTCAAAAAATTGAAAAAATGATGACAAATTATCTTTTAAAAAAAGGGATTGAAGGATTGAATGAGCACTTTATAAAGATTGCTACAAACTCAGTTGAAATTGGAATAAAGCGCTGTACATTTGAAGTTAAACGCTTTAGACAAAGCAGTGTTCATCACTGGCAACCAGCATTTTAAATAGGTCTTAGCGATAGCTATTGCTACCAATGAATTTTTGTAAAATTTCGTTTTAGTCTCAGATGCCATTCCCGGAATTACGACAAGAGCACCCACAAGCTTATATCGTAAGAGCTGAGCGTAAAACGTCTAATTTTCCGCTAAAGTGTTTCAGTTTACCTCCAAAGGTGCTGGTTTGGTCTTCGGCTTAACTGATGAGTTCGCCAGCGTTACTTTATATGAGTTTGTCCCTTTCGCTTGAAAATGAAAAAATATTTTTAGCCAAGTCAATATTCAGGGAAGATAGACATAACTTGAGCAATAAGCAGCGACCTACTCAAACAGATATATTTTGCAAATAGCACGCCGCTCTCAAAGATCATACCGGGTTGTTTTTAAACACAAATCTTACAAGCCAAAGAGAAGCAAGAACTACGAATAAATAAATGATGTCCTCTGCATGATCTTACCTGGTTCCAAA